GAATAACAAATATCTCAATTATTAACATCTCACAGTTCTTTGTAATGAAGAGGTCATGTACATTCTCAGCAGCTTCTCCCTCCATGGATTCAAGCAAAGCTAGCGATAAGGCTATGGTGATACTCTTCTGAGATCTGCCTATGTATTTAGCTATATCTATCAAAGTGAGCAGCAGCAAAATAGTTTAAAACACAGACATGTTCAGAGATGAAGGTGGTAGTTCCAGCTCGTAGCTGTCATGTCTCACTGTACACAGTGCTGCTCCCAATGGAGAAGTTAGTTTTCCTACCTTCACACTGTCAGCTGCACACTGATTAAATCTGAAAGGTTTTCTTTATGTACCAGACCTAGAATATATCATTGTTTTAATTATTTCCTTGTCTGTGCCCCCTGCTGATACCTTCTCAGTGATGAGCGTATCTGCTATTTCTTTCTAAAATACATAGATTTTCTCTACCCTTCTCACTCCCCTCCTCCAAGTTAGAAATGTCAGGAATTACAATTGCTGACGCTGTGCTTGCTGCAGGAGTACTGGGAAGTGGGGCTTTGGTATAAGCAGAAATTTGACCTGCCGTTTTCTCAGCTGGGGGAAAGAGGATGCTGTCCCTTGCATAAAGGGGCTACACAAAGAACTCACATAACCTGTTCAGCCGCTGCTGGTCTGTAGTTAGAGTAAAAATCACAAGCAAATGAGTAAGGATTTGCTTGGCTTGACTAGAGTTTCTACTTTAAAGGAAAAAAAAATGGAAACACTGCAGCTCGAGTTTCTCTCATTTCTCATACCACTAACTCACGGCTTCAGGCTACCCCGCAGCAAAACTGGAAGTTGCCATCTAATATTTGCAGCAACTGATTTGCTCAGGCTACAGAAAAAATCCTTTCACAGATTTGCAGAGGAGAATAAAGTCAAAACCAGCTCAGTTCCTTTGTTCCCACTGCTGTTTTCACTGTTGCAAAAGGCAGTTCAATTTCACATAATCACAACAGCAAGCAGCTATAACAAAATACATTAAAACCACATTTGTTCAATAGAAGAATGCCATTTCACAAAAGGTCATGCTTTCAGTTTTGAGGAGACTGCTAGTCACAAGCAAAATGCCAATATATCATATCACAAAGCATTGACTTGTCTGTTCCCTAGTTGCCTTTGTTATAAAAATGTGAAAAATAGTATTTACCTGCCTTCTCAAGTGATGAAATATTTGGTCATAAACTAAAAATACATACTACTGAATATTTATAACGAGGCACACGTGAAATAAGACATACAGTTCCATAAAGTGGATAACATATGGGAAATGCACTGTTAAGAGTCTTGCTGTGAAAAACAGTAATCTTGGAAAAACCAGGAACCATGGGGTTTAGCAGTTTACATAAACGTGCAAGTGTTCCACAGCATTTATTTAGAAGACAACTACTTGATACTAAATTTTAAATATTTAAAGACAAACTGCCATTTCAGGGAGTTTCTCCTCTCCACCTAAATGACTGCAGTCATAGCAGTCAATCCAGTGATGCTGTAAAGAATACTGCCATAGATACACACCACTTTGGCATTATCTCATCCATAGCTCTGAAGTGCTATTTCCTATCATTTTAGTCTGCATCCTGTAAAGTTTCCAACATCTTTGAAAGGTGATTTTTATGCTAGAAGAAAATTCACTTTTAACTCAGAGCTAAATTTATTGCATTATTTAATCTGCAACGTCCTCTTGAATAGCAAAGCCTCACTCTTTGTTCATTTGTCTCTTGGACACGTAGTTAATGGAAGAGGAAAATTTTGCTGATTGTATTGGCTAAATTGTTGTCTTTTTAAAATGTTGTCCAAGTAAAAAGATGAATACTCATCAGCCCAGATAGATAGGGAGAAATATAGTACTGCCTATCTTACCCCTTCTTTCTTTGTCTGAAGTGATATTTTAAAGTAAGTGAGGTTTCTGTATGTCAAGTATTACAGGCAGAAGCACCTGTAATTATTATTCCTTTTTAAGGAACTGTTTTTTGGTGGTTTATGTATTTTCCATAGAAACCAATCAATTAAAATGGCTGACAGTGAATGGGCTATCTCTTTTTTTTAAAAAAAGATTCAGCTATAATGGGAATGAAAAAGTACATTGCTTTCTTCTTATTATAAAAAAAAAAAAAACCACAAAAAAACCCCAACAAAACAAAAAACCCAAATAAGAGGGATGGGTTTTGTTCGTTCTTACACCTAGTAACTCCAGAAAGGACACTTGAAATTCCTCAAGTTTGCCAACATTATGAGTTCTGCAGTTTCCACCTGACCAAGCCTTACAGCCTGGGGCAAGCAGTTAATCATGCTCAGAAGCAATCTGTAAGAATTTGTCACCTATGTTCAGTGAATATCCCCAGCACTGCATGTGCTACATGCCCTTTGAATGGGGAAAATACAGAAAAGATAAGAAGGTATGAAAATAACATGAAGTGAGAGGAGGTGGCTATGAAGATGGGAAAAGATAAGAGCAGAGGATCCCAAAACCAACAGGAGGAGCAGAAGATGGGGGAGAAGTCAGCAAGCCACAAGGAGATAAAGGCAGAGATGGGAGCTGAAGAGGTCTTTAGTCAGTCCTCTCACACTTTGTTTCAGAATTTGACAATGAACAGATAACTCTTAGGCCTCAACGTACCTCTGCTGTCTAGCAAACAGCTACAAAACCCAAGGGAGAAAACCATGCTTGCTCATTCCCCTCATGTCCTACCTTTCAATGTTGCCATCTGTAACACTGAACTTATTTTAATTTCTTTTTTTTTTCAATGTAATAAAAAATCCTAACAGTAGCAGCATTAAAAGAGAATCAGATTTGACTGTTGGCCAAAGCACAGGAGGAATGCAAATAACCGACAAAAAGTTGACAAACTAGAAATGCTGGTGCCCTTACAGAATAATCGCTGTGTAGATATAAAATCTTCCTCGTATCAGTTATATTCAGACTTTTTTGCCTATATAAATCTTAAACACCAATTATCTGTGAAACTTAAAACTATCGTAATTGGTGCTCTCTTACTCAAGGCAAGTTCTCAGAGAAAATTAGTGCTCAAAATGGCAAAATGTTCAAATAAAACCACTGATTATAACTCTGTTATTGAGATGAGCTTTTAGATGGCATATGACACATCCAGATTGGTTCAGTAAGAAAACAGGTTCAGGGTTGGATACTAGCTGAGATTTTTTTTGTGTTGGTTTTATGGCTAAGGATAGCCAGATGGATAAGGATTTTATTATAGGTATTGGCAAGTTAATGCTGCTGAAAGCCTGACACATGACGCGTTGACTCAAAGTTGGAACATCAGATTTTCATCTACATTAAACTCAAGCAATTTTTGTGAGGCTGCAGCCTGGATGCACCACCGCAGCGTGTGCATTGCCTACCTCAGAGAAAGAAAACCCACAAACATTGGGGATCTTTCTGTCTGAAGTGATGAAGGTGAATGAAGAGCATCCACCACAGGAGAAGAGTCAGAGTCTGTGACAGCTTTAGCGTGCACACACGTATGCTAAGCTCTGCCCACCTGTATGCCCTGCTCATGGGCAGGTCATAGAGCACACTGCCCTTTCCACATCATCCAGCCTGCAAAACTAGATTTCACTGTCAGTGCTCTTCTGCCTTCCAGCCCAGCCTCCTGACCAGGGAGAAGCACTCCAGTAATCCCTGAACCTTGTACTGTAGATGAACCCCAAATACATACGTGATTTGTTGAAAATACCTGCATTGCATTAATCAGTTAAATTCTCTATTTCCTAATTCAGGCATGAAAACAGTGTTGGTTTGGGATGCCTGAACCAAAGCAATCTGGCTGAACTTGAGTAGTCTCCAACGGAGTCAGCTATGGGTAACATTTATCTTTGTTTTTCATTTGTAGCATAGACAAAGGGAGCCATTTACATTCCTGTGAGATCTTGTCTCAGCAGTTTCCCTTTTGAGACTGTACAGTAAGGGAAAGAGCTAACTAATCTATTTGTGGCCTTCAACTACTACACCAGAAACTATGAGCATGGACAGGTGTCTGCCTGGGAAAGCCAGTCATCTAATTTTAGATATGCCAAGATGAACAGGAGGAAAAAAAAAAATGTTATAGAGAAAGAAGGGTTAGCAAAGAAAGAATTCTGGCCAGTAAGAGAACTGAGTAACTCAAATCAGCACACATCCAAGCATGACATTTAGATACTAACCCAAAAGGTGAAGAACTTTAATACTAATATCACTTGATCTGCAGTGATTCAACATCTCCCTGGGGTTTGTCCTCTCATCAGAACATGAATTCTTCCTAAATTTGGCCCTTCTGTCTTAGCCAGCCTCACATTAGACCTTTTCCAACAATACAGATTGCAGTTGCAGCAGTGGACACCAACTCTGAGTCACCACAGAAAGGTTGTCTGAGCTGAGCCAACTGCAGCAGTCAGCAAGGGACAGCGGTGGGTGTGTGCGTGCTCAGAAAAATGAACAGAAAGCTGCTGCTTTTGAGCTCTGGGAGAAAAGGTCAATGTTTTCCTGTCTAATCAGGAATCTGGGTCAGGAGACGCTGGAAATGAGGTAGGTTTTGGATGCTGCTTTCACCCGAAACAGGGATCAGCTTGGCTTGTGGTGCCTCCCAGCACTCAGCAGCCCAGCTGGAAGCCATAAGCAGCTATCAGCCTGGGGCTCATGACATCACTGTGCACCAAGCACATTTTTCACATACTAAGACAGCACGGATACAGGCTGCTAGCCGAGGTAGGTTTATTAAAGAGCCAAACTGCCGGCTGCAGACACTTCATTTCTGCAGGTTAAGCTTCTTGTTTTGTTAGAGGTTCACATTTTTCATCTGCAGGGAGTTTATTAAAAAGGGCCATTGACATTAGCATCAGTTACACTTGTGTGTCAGAACACCTAAAAATGATTTTTGAAATACATACAATGCCTTGCAACTCCTCTTGGGTTTTCTAAAGGGAACAATGTTTCTGATTGTAAATTTTACTCACCAGAACTCAACTGTCTTGTGAAACGTGCAGGAATCACAGAAAGCAGTTTGATAAAGGAGGCATGTCTTTAACTTCAGCAAGCCCAGCCCCTGGGAATAACAGTTTCTTATTTCGGCACAGGCAGTCTTGTGAAAGAGAAATTAATCCGTCACGTACTCTGCCCTGTAGCCTCGCAGAAGCTATGTTGAACCACAGACCAGCTTTCCACCTTATTATACCTTTGGGAAAGAGGAATTACTATTGTGAGGAATTCTGCAGTGTGCTAAGAGGTTTCACAATCCCAGGGCAGCCAGAGATGGTGAAAGAGCCTGGATCTGTCAAGTTAACAGAGTAAATCACTGCTCTGGTCACGTGCCTCTGGCAACCACCACCTGCTTGCCTGCAGTTGGGTTGCCTTTTTCTATGCTATGAGAGCAGTGTTGCACATGAAAGAGAGCAGGATTCACCTAGGGCCTCAGAGAAGGGAAACACACACACCCTTACAACAGGCCATGCGCTGGTAGCCGCAGTCTGGTTTTAGACCTGAGGGAAAAAGACTCAGCCTAATCCCAGAGCTCTGTCAAAACCCTGTAGAAACAAACACAACATGCAGGAGAAAACTGTGTCCTACCTGATGCAGAGGCAGTGGCTGGGCATTTGCTTCTCAAAAAGAGCTGATATGGAAGAGTCCTGTCTTTTGATTTCAGAGCCTGTGAGTTCCAGTCTCGCTCATGACCTCTAGAGTGAGAAACGAATTAATCTTTAAGCTCTGCTAGGTCTTAAAGACCTAGTCTTAAAGGTCTACTTAAGTCTACTTTGTGTTGGCCAGGTGAAAGTCAGCTGTTCACCAAAACAGACTTTTGCCAGGTTCTGTGGGCTATTTCTGAAGTCTGCACAGTTATCAGAGCCATGTTAACAAAATGCTTTTAATTCAAAGTTTTACTGTTTCAAAGTTCAGCTGGTCACATTTACAGGTAATTTTAAGTTGAATTTTTACTGTAGCAGGAAGCACTGGGTCCCAGCAAGAGTGAAAAACAGAAGGCAACTTTATTTCTGTTGCTGGTTTTACAGCAAGTTTTCAATGGCTTCCAGTTAGCTTGGGCAAAGGAAGCTAGCTGCAAAGTAAATTACAGAGACTTCAGGTTTGCTACGCTTAATGTATAACTGAAATAATGCACTGCAAAAGGTGCAAATAGCACTATAGCGGTCACAGGTACTGAGCTGGAGGCACACAAAGTAACTGAGGACAAGCCACACGGAAGTACAAGTTTGAAAAGCCATTTAACAGTTGATATTGTTAATACACCAGTTACAGTGGGACTCCGAACACAGCACAGCTTGTGGTTACTAATACACTGGGGTTCCCTAGTGACTTTTTTTAATAGGGTGGCTAGTATGAAGTCCCAGCCTCATGTGAGCACAAAGCTTTGAAAGAGGAAAACAATGTTTTCTTATTCGCTGTTGGCAGCATACAGCCATTTTTCCTTGCACAAGATGGGACTTTAGAAAGAGATATGAACCTTGTGTTCTGCCCAGTCACGATTGTTAGGTCTGATTTAAGATGTCTGAACTCCTGACTGTACTCTTAGAGATTAAGGCATGATTTGACCTTGATTTCCCAGCAACCACTGCTCAAAGCCTTTGCATTCTTCTTTGAGTTGTTCCATCTCGTTATGGATTTTTCCAGCTGACCCTTTTGATCTTATTTGGAGAAGCTGACTGGGGGTGGTTCATTCTATGCAGCAGTATTAGGCTTGAAGAACAGCAGGGGTAGCTCCAGCAGAAGCTAGAAAACCTTTTATATGGCGTTGTGTTCCTTATAATGCCTTCAATATGCCTTCTGAGTGCAAAATATGCTTAGCAGTTCATCATAATTCTCTGATACCTTTGCCTTTCCCCAGCAGGCAGGACAGTGATTTTGCAGCTGCTGCTTCTGCACCTAATTTATCCGCAGCTGCTTTTGCTGGTGCTCAGAGCAGTGACAACCGTGATCGTAATTCATGCAAAACCAGGACTCCACTCTTGAAGGGAACAGGAACTACACAATGCCCTTCTACAGCTTTCACAGCTGTGGGACATGCTCAGCTGGATTACCCACTGATGCCCATCACCAGCCTCATGTCTGTGCCAATGCTCTGTAATGGTCAGGGGGCAGAGTCACAAACAGGAAACAGACTGAATATATTCTGCACTTCCCAGGAGTTACTTCTCTTCTTAGAGCGGTATTGAGGTAATAAATAACATCAGCTACCCTCACACTGGGCTTTAGCAGTGAGGAAGGAAACAATTCAGATATACTTCAATAGGTTACCTTAGTGTCTGGTGGAACAGCAATCAGGTCCAATAGGACATAATGTGAAAGGCAATAGGGTCTGCAGAGCTGAGCTATTTGATGTCAGTCTAGAGCTAGGCAAGCCATCTGAAACCAGCTTTTACACTAACTGCAGCTGGGGAAAAGGAGAACTGAACTGGCATCTGTCCCACAGAACACGTGTTTTGGCATTGTAGCCAGCTGTAGCTCTGTTAGCTCCACCAGTCCTTCAGGGTGCAGTTTTTATGTTACAGCTCAGCTGAAGTAATGGGTAGGCAACGCCGGAAAGGGGAGTTGTGCTTCTTATCCTCCACACGTGGCTATGGATTCTCAAGGTATCAGTAACGGCTCTCATCTGACCCCCACTGCAAGCAGGTAGGTAAGGGTAGCTTTCCACCAGCAAGCACAAGTGATCAGATTGGCTTAAATAATGTGAAACCCACTGCCCAGAATGCCCGTTTCATCTTTGCTTTAAAGCAAACTATCCTGAAAGGGACAGACCTGTTGTCCTCTCTCTTCACCAGCCACAGCCACTTCCCTTGCACTGGCAGTAGCACCCGCACACTTGTGTGACCCAATCTTATCTGATGAGCACAACAATCAAAATAAATGTGCTTATTTGGTTGGACGGGGCTCTGAGCAACCTGATCTAGGTGAAGATGTCCCTGCTCACTGCAGGGGGTTGGACTGGTTGGCCTTTAAAGGTCACTTCCAACCCTAAATATTGTGTGATTCTATAAACAGTATCCCTTCCCATAGCAGGTGCCCAGCCTTCTCTTTCTCTTGCTGTCAAACCTTGCATTTCTTCCCCCTGGCATGCAACAAAAACTCAGGCTTCAGCTGGATTTTGCATTTGCCTCTCAATCACTCATTTCTACACTAAGAGCCACTTCTGCATCTCAAGCAGCAGTATCGTTTATTATCTTTTGAGACACAGTTTGTACATTTGTCTAATTACCCAAAAGACACCTTATCCCAAAGGGGACCCACCATCTCCAGCTACCCAACAGGTGGCCAAAATCAGCCAGCTCCCCACCAACAACGGGCAGGATTACCATAGCAATTTATCCTCTTAGAGAATGACAGTCACATCTTGTCCGGTCATGGTTGATTCTCATCATCTGATTCCCACCACATGGATTAAAATAAGCAGCACCAAGAGTGAATCAGGAACTCGTAACAGGCACTGGTACAGAGTCAAGTGCCATTTATCACCCATAATTATAATGTTTTGCTCATTCTTACCTTTCCTCCTGCCCCTGTCCTTTCACATAGATTAAAGCCATTCCACTGGTTACAGAACTCAGCTTGTACTCACAGCATTATTTTCTGCAATCAAAATAGGCAGATATAAAGATACTGAATCACCATGGCAGAACATTCATTACAGATACCTGCAGGCCAATGTGCAAAACCTCACGCATAAGCTGTTTCTGTGAAGCAGTAAGTTAACATCTTCTACGCTCCACATGCTTGCCTGTAACACCTTCCCACTGCCTCAAACAAGAAACTCACTGAGACAAGTTTGATCTTTCACTTCTGCCTTCATTTTTCTGAAAACTAGCACTTGTCTTGATTACTGACTCCTGCTTTTTCTCACTGTGTTGCTTGGCAGCTTGTCATGAGTTACTTTTTCCCACATCATTCATGCATCCCAAGCAAAAAATAAAGATGCATAAGAGCAAAGAAGCAGGTGTTTAGAAAGCCAAAATACATTTCTTTGGCAGCATCTGCACGGCAGATACTTTCAGCTAAAGTATAGGCCCAATTGTAATTATACACAATAAACCCTTTGGCAGTATAAAAGAATGAAAGAACTCTCTTTTTCTTTTTTCTTTCCCAAAACACAGGTCTGGATGCCAGACACTTGTCTCTGACTCTTTAAAGCAGTTGCCAGGAAAGGAAATGGGAGGTATATGCACACCTCCACCCCAGCTTGGCCAGTAGGACTGTTCAGTGACGAAGGGATTATTTTGGGATGCAGAAGATCAGATAGTAGCCTTTGCCACAGCCTCCTCACATACCTTTGGCCAGCTGCCTCATCCCTCCATAATGAACAGTGGTAATTACCAAATGCTGAGAAAACAAACAGAAGCTGATTTTGTGCTGAGCCACAGACACAAGGTGAAAATTCCTGACCTGCCATCAGCCAAGCTTAGTCAAGAAGCTTAGTCAAGGATTCCTAACCATTAAGGAATGGTTAATCAGTGTGTGTAATTCACCATGGTGCTGAGATTAAGATGTGTTACAGGGTGACTAGAGACAGGTTTAGTGAATCCAGAGATGATCTCAGTATTGTTGCACAGCACTGTGTGATGCTGACAAGCTGTGCTATTAGGAAGCTCTATGCTATATATCATCTCAGAGCACATAAAACCACATTTAACTTAAGCAAGTCCTCCACAGTCACGTTTCAATTTCAACTACAACACAACCCAGTCCAGCATCACAGCTCTGACAAAAAAGGCACATTGACAGCCAACCATCATCAAAGTATTAGAAGTGTTACAATGCAAAGGGCAGTCTGCTGATGCTGGAGTCTGTGCCCCCGACCACTAACAACCTCATCTATGTACAAAATGGTAGTTATATGGTTTTTAGCATAGTCCCCGAAAGAGTGACACTTCGTGATACTTGGCAAGCAGCAGCAAGGCAACCTGCAGGTGCAGGTTGCCACTTGGCTTCATCAGGACAGTGATTTCTAGGGACCCCTGCTTCAACTGTTTTGCCTCCCAGGATAAGGCCACTCAGCTCTTCACTCTCTGACCAGACTGAGGTTTGAAATCTCCTCAGCACAGATCACAAAGCCCATACCAGCTTTCTCCAGACTGGCAGGGCAGTTGCTGGCCACAAAAGCAGACATGCAGGGAAAGCTTCCTGTGTTTAGAAGAAAAGACAATACTAATTTGAAAACAAGAAAGGGGGTGGGGGAAGAAGCAAGCCAGCTTCCCTGTAAGGTTTAGTATGATCCCAGAGATGAACTAGTTAGATTATGTCCTTAGTAGCATGTAGTTTAAACATCACCAGGCTTGGGACAGGAAGCCTTCTGCGGGTGAGGACAGTGTCCCTGAATTACCAGCTTCCTTGTCTATCAAGAGCATAGCCACTCACACCTGGGAAGCCACCAGGTATTCTTCACAGCTTATTTAATTCAAACATATAATAATGCACAACCACTCCCCTCTAACCAGTGAGTTACCTACAACACTCAGAGTTTATTTAGCAACATTACAACTGGGCTTTGCATCTTTTGCTTTTGGTGCTTATTCACTGCTGAGCAACAGGGGAGACTTCTGCATTCCTGTGGGAAGAAAATGGCACATGGAAAACCAAAGGCAGCTGTCTACCTTGGGGTATAGCCATAGTTAGGTCTAATACAAATGCTTTAAATAGCAGAGGCCTGACAGACTCACTTGGAACATTGGTGTCTGAGTTAAGTCCCCAGCTGTATTGCACTGAAACAGGTCAGACCATTGCCCACTCTGGCAGTGACATCAGGAAGGCATGAAAAGGGCCAGCTCAATGAGCCTTTGGATTCAGTCATCTTTTCATGTTAGGAATATAAAACCCTTACAGGAGAATACAGAAGTGCAATTATGGTAAACAGTAGGGCAAAGGATAAAATCTTGTTTACCCTCAGCACTACCTCTATTTGTGTTTTACACCCTGCTCCCTGTGTTCTTGAACAGCAAGGCCACAATATGAAGGCCAGGCAGGCTTGCGACTCAGGCAGCCAGGAGGGCTGTCTTCACCCACATTGCAAATGGGCCACAATGATTCAGGCATCCCAGACACCTCTGCCTCCCAAATCAAAAAGGTACATTCAAGGCCAGGGTGGACAGAGCCTTGGGTGACATGGTCTAGTGCAAGGTGTCCCTGCCCAAGGCAGGGGGGTTGGAACTAGATGATCTCAAGACCCCTTCCGACCCAAACCATTCTGTGATCTATGATTTTTCCTACTAGAAATAAACATTAAGAATTAAAGTGCTTGCACCACAGCTGTAGTGCCCTTACACGAACCAGTCCCTTCCAGAGGGCAGGAGCTGATGGTCTAGAAATGTGATTTTTAATGATGCACCCCTGTTTCTAGGTCGAAAAAGTTACATGTTCTAGGTAATCATAACTAGTTCAACAAAAAATGCTCAGTTCAAAACCCCTGTATTTTCAAAGCTGAAGTGAACAACTTTAGAAGACTTGTTCATCTTAAGGCTAACAGAGCCTGAGCAGATCTTAAAAAGAAAGAAGTCATACAATACTGTAGGAAATGAAAAATGAAAACATTTATGTGACAATAGCACACAGAATAGAGGGAAAAACTCCCTAGGCTCATTTTGCCTAGGGGAAAAAGAGACGAAGTAATAGAATAAAGCTAAAATGGTAGTTTAAATCTCCCCAAGCTAATTTTGACTAGGAAAAAAGAGATGAGGTAGTAAAAGCTAAAATGATAGTTAAGGACCTATTTGGGTTATATACAGGGCTGGAATTCAACTTAATTGAAGGTAAAACATTTTTTGTGGGCCAAATATCCCAGCCCTTGGTCCCACGGCAATCTTACCACACAGCACAAGCACTCCCTGGGAAGTTCTCAAGCAGACCTAAGTACCACTTCCTATTTCCACTTCCACCAATATTTCTCTGCCTGTAGGAGTGGGAGCTTTCTTCCTTGATGGGAAACTTCTTCCTCAGGGCATTTTACTCTATCTCAAACAGCATTTTGTCCAATCACAGTGGAATCTCTTGTAGCTCCCAATGGAAGAAATCCAGTTTATGAGATTATATTTATTTTTAAGTGCTTGACTGTCACTCCTAAGCCCTTTGACTCGCATTGACCTTTAGGATTTCAAGACAAAATGCTATCCTACTTGTACTGCTTAAACAGTTTTAGCTTTGGGATTGTGCCAGACAGACAACTGACTGCAACTATTATAAGAGTCATTTTCCAGCATGTGGATTACTAACATGTGGCCACTTAAGCTAATTTTATATGGGATCAGAAGCCTTACAGGTCACAGTCTCATGGTTTGTCACTCAGCTGCATGTCCTGTACGTCCAAAATCCTGAATCCTATGTTCAGTCAGGCTCCCTCCAACTGTGTGTACAGAAAACCAAGGAATATGGTGCATGGATGATTATCAGAAGGCTTTGATATGAAAAGGAGTGAGGAAGACTAGCAGAATTTTGGCCCAAGACTTCGTCTGTGATATAGTTAATGATTACTTACATCTGCTGTAGCCTCATTACATACAGGGCGAATCTCTTCCTCAATTCTGTGATCCTTGTTGCCATTTATGTAAGAATGAAAACGGTTAAATCAGTTGCCCACCATTAATATTTGTATTATTTCATGTCACATCTTTTAATCAAATCACAAAATTTGACTGCAGTTTCATATTTTCAAACCTTGGTATTATTTTCTTTTTTGCAGCTGTCAGTTCCAAAAACTCCTTGGCAGCCCTCTCAGCCATACCACATAAGGATTTATTAATACAGGTCTCCACTCTTTCCCAGGGCTTGGCCATTTCGTACCAGTCAGCCTGTGCGTCTGCCTCTTGCTTATCTGCACAGTCCCAGTCATAAGAATTCTGGCAGAGACTGGGCAAGTGTCCTTTAGAAAAAGAGTAACCCAGTTCATATAACCAACTGAACTGAACTGCTTCACTACAGTTTCTTAGAAGTAGTGAAGTCAGAGCAGAGGAGCTGCATCGAGTCTTACAAAGCCTGGGTGAAAGCCCAAGTTGTACAAACTGCTGAGACAGCCCAACAGCCTACAAGTATGTAAGACAGCAGGAACTGGAACAATCTCACTCCTTTTCTCCCTTGTTCCTAGCTGCAGGAGCCCTTCTCTTCCCTTGCCCTTACACTAGCAATGACAGGAGCCAAATTAAAGTTGTTAACCCAGCAGGCAACCATCAGCAGCTTTTTTGCCCCCAGACTTATGCTGCACCACTCTATGAGCAATTCAATGAGCAACAGAACAAGCCACAGCACAAGTGACTTGCAGATGCAGCTAGCATGACAGAGGGAGCGACTGGACAGGACAATGGGGTCTTCCCCTTGTTACAGGGATTTGCCATTAAATTGTTTCAAGCCCTCTTGTGAAATCACAAAATTAGAAAGGAGGCAGCTACACAGTTTTGCAAGAAGAGAGCTGGGGTGAGTTTACAACTCACCAGCACCATCATTTGATTAACTTTTCACACTGAAACACTTCGTTCTCATGAACACCAAATCTGGTTAACCTCTGTAACATACCACTGTTTCTGCAGGAGCAGTAACAGGAACACAAATTACACAGGAGTCATACTAGACAACACAACAGCCACTTCCCTTTATTTCAGATGTGTGACTGCAAGCATTTAGCAGCTTTGAGCATAAGTTCCCATTTTGTTGTGTTTTTTTTTCTTTCCAATCTTTGTTTGCCTGACAAACAAGCAAACCTCAAACACTTCAGTCTATAGGAAAGAAGCGCTTACACCCTACAAATAGGATTATACCTCAGATGCATTCCAAGGTTGTTCAGCATAATTACAGTTTTTGTTCCATAAATAAGGACTTTCCAGTAAGCTGCAGAATACTAAGTATAAGTTGAGGTCATGGAGTTGGACATGAATTGAACACCTCGTTATTTTAAGCTCATTCGTGTCAAGTCCATCAACCAATTAATAACCTAGTAGGCATAAAGTGTTAGTCATTCCTGTTAGGCTGAGTAATTTTCAAAATGGGATATACACATTTTTCAGAGAGCTCTTTTCATAGGCATTTGCGTTACCTGCCAGCCACACAGGTGTGCAGAACTTCTGCAGGACCTATTCCAGCAGTCAGTGTCTTCCCTTTCCATTATTTTTTGCAGTTAGTTTTCACACTATAAGAGCTCTTGTTTTCACAGCTAAGTGGGGTAAAACTTCCAAAGATGGGAATAGTGTTCAATTAGGTTCCAAATTTTGCAAAGACTTCCTGTTAAGGGATTTCTTGCAACATTTACTTACTCCACTACTGGGTTATCAGATGTCCATGCACTATTAGATCTCATCTACAATAACTAGAACAGTTATTTGAGAAGTTTTAAAAAGGAACATACCAAATACCATTTATGTTCATTTCAGAAAGTTTATTGCACCAAATGCCGCAAAGAAATAGACCAAAATGATAGCGTACATAAACAACTATAAGAAAAAAAAATAAATCCATGTAGCTCGACATTGGTATTCAGTCATTCCTAAAAAAGCCTATGCGCTCCAAACATGCAATAACAACACTTTTTTTTTTTTTTTACTATGGAAAACCTGCTATGTATGTCAAATTAGCCCACTTGACCTGAAAAACACCCCCAGTCTAGAGTATATTCAGCAGTTCAGACTCAGTTTCGATTTGCACCTTTGAGGGGTAAATAATCATTTTATATAAACTTTATATACAAGAATTTGGTGTGTCTGAAAAGGGTTTTTGACTTTAACAGTAAAAGTAGGGAACAACAAAGATCATCTATAACTCTGGAGGATGCCATAAGACATGTTAATTACAGAACCAGTGTCTGTATGTTTCTTTTGGGCAGATGAAAGTTGTATGAATTAGTTCCAAGAGTACCTAGATAATTAAGATGTTTAGATCTTGGTATCATTTGGGGTTAAAAAAATCATTTAGATTAAATACTATGGTTTTGCAGTTATTCCTTGCCTCTGTGTATGAAGGTTTAGTCTTGCCTGGAAAACAAGCATACATTCTTTAAATTGCACTGTGTAAACTGGACTTACGTGGGATTTCGGAAAGACTGTGCATTCCCACTTAACCAAGAAAGTATGTATTTAAGCTTACAAAAAACTACATAATACTGATAAAACCAACTTTGGAATATTTGAAAATTAAGCTACATTATCAATTTTAAACACATCTGTACATTCATATAATTTTTCATCCTATTAAAATAAAAACAGAAACATGCCCTAAAGATGTCTAACAACACATCTGTAAATACTTACTGTCCTGTCATGCCACACTAATTTACATAAACAGCAAAATGCTACCAAACCCAAGTTAAAGACTTAAAAGTCAAAAGAAGCCCTAGAAGGTGGAATCCTGTCAACTGAGGTAGTACATTTGGTGGAGGGGAAAATATGTATTTAAGTTTCTGTAGTCCAGAGCCTTTTAAAGGTAATAAACAGCTTTTTCTTGGATTTTCTTCCTCCCAAACTAAAACTATGAGAAAAAAGATAGTTCATCATGTAAATTCTGAAGAGCAGCAAAATGTTAGAGAAAGCAGCAAGAACTATAAAAGTTTTAGCTTGGGCTGAAGACAATCCAAGTGCTTCTGACCATCAGCTCACATGCCACCACCCGGCTAATTTGAAGTCTTGCCCAAAGTCAGATTTAATTTTTTTTTAATAGTTGATACAGTAAAATCAGGTGTTACTGATCATGGCATTAGTCTTGCAATCACTGAATGTTGGCTGATCTTTGACTTCCTTAGCTCACTGTGATAACAAAAGCACATATTTCTTTGAACAGAGTCTGTTCAGATAAAAACCCAATACTTAAAAGAACAGGAATTGACTTTTAATGAACTTGGCTACTATTTAAGAGTGTCATGGAATAGAGAAAGTACATGAGGATTTCTATATACATTCAGGGAAGCAGTTTTGTAGCCTTACATGTGTGCACACACATTTTCCATCACACGGGTAGTTTAGGAATATGTGACTTGCTCTATGGCTCTTTGTCTTAACTTTAAGGAATAGAGTGGTATCTGCTGACAGCTGTATGCAGAGGTAAGTTTACTTTCCAGCAGATAGGAGTCACAAACAAAAGATAGGAAAAGCTCTCTTAACTGTAAGTAGTACAAGAAAACATGAACCATAGAGAGATTTTAGCCTTTTTAGGCAGAATACTAGGGACAAATATGAAAATGTGATAAAAGAAACATCTGGAATGTCAGATTAGAAACCCAGTATACAAGGAACAGCTTTAGAAGCATTGTATCAGAATATTAAGTAATCCTCCACTTGGAAACAACCTCTCTTCACAGTAGGTCAGTCTACCTATTTCCCTCAAAAAGCAACACAAGGTTAATCAAGACCCCTATCACATTTAAACAGCTCACAATATGCACATTTCATTATTCCAAATCACTGAAAGTTTACTGTAGAAAAGTCCAAACATCCAGGTAAATAAAAACACTTTTATTAAAAGTGTGTCCCTTCAGTGTTAAAAATCTGTAATCACCAATGAGGAGAACTCACAAAGAGTGACCAGGAGTTTCGTATTAGAATTCACTAATCCCAAGCAATTGTGTTGCTAGCAATTTGATTGAAAGCTCACCATTTCAGACAGCTTATTCATGCTGTCTCACAACAGAACAGTCCAACATTGAGTCATCCATTTCTTCAATAATGTTTGTTCTGATCCTTTGTTCTCTCTCCTCAGTCTGGTCCATAGCTTCATATCCAGCTTAACAGTACTTTACACAAAAAAAAGTCAATTTTTTACATTCATGTTATCAATCAGATGAAAACTGTGAAATATAAAAGTTTATTTTGCTTTCTAGAAACATAGAAGGCCAGTATCAACTAGTGGAGAAGTAGTTTCTGGTCTCAGAGTAGTTAACCTCTTAAGGAAAGGCACCCAGATGACAGTTCAACATTTTTGCAGAATCAAAGAGGGTAATTGCAAACATTCATAGTAATATCAAATACTGGGGGGGTTGCCCCCTATATTTAATTTTACTTCAAACAATGCTCCTTCTATTCCTACTTAGAGACAACTAGTAGCTGGAAAAAATACTTGTGACTAAAGGTTTGGTGAGGGGTTGATTGTTGTCTTCTATTTCCCCAGTAAGATTGTCTTCGGTTTGTGCCCACTGCTTGGTGTAGTGCATGCGCACAAACATGCACTAATAGCACTGGTATTCGACAAGCATGTTTGTCAAATTCATACTCCTTGGAAATAGTGATACTCGATAACACTAAGACACAGGTTTAGTTCCCAGGGCTACAATCATATAGAAACTCAGAGAGTTATTGAAGTTGCATCAGCAACAAATGTAAACTTGTAGCAGAAATTCCATAAGGCTTTCCAACAAAACCACTATCTCAGAAGTCCATTCCATTCAATTTTTAGCCATGGGCTCATCTGAATGTCTCCTCATTAAAACAGAAGCAGCCACAGCTTTCTTAACCTCTTCTCCTTCAAGGGAAAAGTCACATGATCTCATTAACACCTTCATTCCCACACTGCATTTGGCTGCTGAATCCAGGTTCCTTGTTCTGAGCCCATCATGTCTACTATACAAAATCATGTGTATGTTCTGCTAGAAAAAAATGTCCCATCTAATACACTTGTGTATAGGAATGCTATATACATATTTTACAGCTCATCCTCCTCCCCAGCAAAGAAACATACACCACACAACATTCACAAGCACAGTATTACAAAATTCATTTTAACCCACTTGTTCTTTTAACTGTTACTTCATGGTTTTGAGCAGCGTTTTGGATGGCAGCTCCTGGTCTGCCACATAGTGTTAACTTTTGTCCTTTGAATAAAAATAAAATGCAAGGATGCAGTCACTTTCTTGCTTTAAGTCAGAAGTGAGATTGTAAGAAAAACCTGAATGCCTTTTATGTCATGTAAACTGAAGTCCTCCAATAAAACATCCAGCTGAAATCAGAATCAGAAGGTGTAGAAGGTATAGGCATCACCTGCTTTCCTCAGTGTTCCCCTTTACCAGCGTCCGGCACCTCTGTTCTTCATTCAACATTCCCATGTTGTTTCACTTTAAGGGAATGACTATCCTGAGATTTTAATTTATAAGAGTATTTGGGCAACATACGGGGAATGAGTACTTGCTATAGCAGCCAACAAAGGCAAGTCATTGGATTCAATCCTAGAAATTAAAAAGAGAGACAGACTTTAAAATATACAATCACCTTCACAAGAGAAACATAAGAAGATACTTTTTCATCCACTTTAAAGAAACTGGAAGTGTCTTGTTACACTGAGTTAACTGTTACATTATTTTTATTTCCATTACTTACCTATCAGTAAAGGTAGGTAATAATGTTTAAAACCAAGAAGTATGCTGCCCTATAAATCAACAGACAGCAGTATTGCATTTAGTAGTATATAATCTTTTGGGGGGTTTAAATATTTTTATTTATTTGCCAAACTATAAGTCTCAGTTTTAGTTTTACCAGTCAGTAGGCACCAATAAGCCCAGTTTAAGAAAGCACTAAACATTAGCTTATGAAAGATGCTGCATTTCATGTTTTAACTCAGTTCACCATACAGTAGCACTCTTATCAAAAGATGACCAAAAGCTGGAATTAATTCATTATTATGCAATAACAGTACCAGGAATGTCTCTCAAACACAATGTTCAGTTTCCAACCATTTCCAAATGTAAAGCTGCTCAAGGGCCAGGACATATCTATGTATTTATAGTGCTTGTTTCTGAGTTTCACAACTTACAACTACATTTCCCAATATGAAATCTTGAATAGTCTGGATAAAGATAAATTAGGTTTCGCCTACAGTGCTAAAACCCATCTTTTTGGGAATGTGTATTCAACTTCTTCCCCTTCCCCGTCTTCTGCTGTCAGCAGGTGCATCCTTAAAGATTGTATGCCAATCAAGTACTATTGTTAGAAGACAGCTGCCAAAGAGGACATCTGTTTTTCTTACACTTGCTTTTTGAGAAGCCTTCTTTGCTCAAGATACAACTGCACCACCTAAACAAAAATTTTCAAGTATTTGTTGGGATGAAGCTTTCACTAAGGAGACTGAGACAGAAAGAGTATGTATGAATGCATGGATAACATCCTAATGACCAAAATCCAAACTTTCTTCATTCTGAAGACTTAAGAATGACAAGTAACTGGTTCTTGCTGTAGAACTATTTCCTACTGATTTCCAGATGGTTTTATTAGATACACAATAAAGTGCTAAATATGAAGAAGCAAGTCCTCATGGGAAAAATATACCAACATTCAGAAACTGGAAAGGAAAATAACAGCCCCAAGTTTTGCCATTAATCAATACCTATAATACTCACCCCAATACCATTCCTAGTTCTTTTACATGCACTCTTGTATGTCCTCGCAGATATTCTGAAAGCATTTTGCTTTTGAGATACATCTCTTGTAGTCTATCCTCAAGATGCATTATGCACTGTAAACACAGACCACAACCCTCAGAATGGCTTTAAGAATCGCATGCAAACTTTACAGGAATGTAAGCACATAATTTAGTCTTTTATCTTAGCTATAACATCTCTCAAACTAAATCTCCACTTAAAAATCTCGAAGAGGCAATTGATTTTGTTACAGGTGTGCTGGCACCATTAAGAAGTTATCATTACCCCTCAAAGGGGAATCCCCTCATAAAACTGGGGCATTCCAGCTTTCTCAGGCACCATAAACAGCACATCCATTTTTCACCCAAGTCAGCCACAGCATTTCTGCTGACTTAAATAGTTTTAACCAGGTTCAAAGACACTCAAGACATCTTACAAGGGGTAACGGGTTCAAACTTAAACAGGGGAAGTTTAGATTGGATATAAGGAGGAAGTTCTTTACTGTAAGAGTGGTGAGGCACTGGAATGGGCTGCCCAGGGACGTTGTGAATGCTCCATCCCTGGCAGTGTTCAAGGGCAGGTTGGACAGAGCCTTGGGTGACATGGTTTAGTGTGAGGTGTTCCTACCTATGGCAGGGGGTTGGAACTTGATGATCTTAAGGTCCTTTCCAACCCTAACTGTTCTATGATTCTATGATTCTACTAAGAATCAAACCAGAACACTTGGATCAATACTTAATGTTTGTTGTCAGTATAATATTTTGTGAAAGACTGAGCTTAGACAACAGTTCCCAAAATTGCCACTCTACCTCTAGGGATCTGCATTCAAGAAATTAAGACTCAAGAACTAGAAGACACTATTATCTTATATGTCATAATTTCATAGCTCTTTTGCTCACTACTTTACAATAGAAGCTAGGTTACGAATCCTCTTTAGCCATTTGTTTTAATCAGTTCTAGGTACTTCTAGTTTAAAATTGCTTAAACATTCGACGCTGCCTGCCAAAAGGTAATAGTTCAAACTGAAAAAAAACAATTTAATCACTCCCCTTTTCTTTCAGCAGTAGCATGCTAGAAACATGTATTATCTTTAAATACAGTCATGCGATGCATGGTAATTTCTCATACACCAACCGCAGGACAGCAGATGAACCTTAGCTTCAAAGAGAGAGAAGGTTTATTTTCATAAGACAAGGACAGTAGGTATGATGTCTTCACAAGATGAGTAGTAGGATGCCTTATCAGGTATTTTGTTCTAGGACAAAGGTATATTCAAATTGATATATTCCTTATTTCCACCATGATGACCACTTCAAAAAAGTTAAATTAGTTCAGCTCTCCAAACTCCAGGTGATGAAAGCAGGAAGTGCATGCAGAACCTTGTATTATCTGATATATAATCATCTGGCAGGCATAGACAGCAATTAGAAACAGTAGCAGCAAACAGCTTCAGGCCATTGTTCAACGTAATTTTCAAGTTGAATGAAAGCCGTAAGTATTAGGAATGAGACCCTGTGAAACCAGTTTTAGTAATTAAAAAAAAGTAAGCAAAGAAAAGATTCATACTTGTAGGTAGTCTACCATGTACTCTCTGGTCTGGAGTAAGATGAAGATTTTTAATGATTCTCTGAGTTTATAGCACGTCTTAACCGTGGAAGATAAAAAGGCATTTTAAAAACATGCTACGTAGTAGTAGAACAAGATCAATGACACCAGTGGAGGAAAGCTTTTTGAGAGTAGTTTATCTGTTTGCTTCAAGTGAGTTTTCAGTCAAGTCAGTATACTTGTTACAGTTCTGATTCTACTGAAAGGGAAATACTCTTTTCCATTACAGGCAACCTTAACACAGAAAGCCCACAAGCACTTCCTCAGTGGCTGAGGGGAGCATGCAGCTGATTCACAAAGTGGCAGTTCAACATATTTCAATTTCAGTACTTATGGCAAAGGATTATGGATTTTTATATTTTTTTAAGGCGTGAGGGAGTAAATAAGGAAGAATCCCACATTATTCTAAGGGAGATTCTTTATATGCAAGATTATCTGCTCCTCCTGTTGCAAAGAATCAAGACATTCCTCCCCATAAGCTGGGTACATGAATCCATTTTGTTCAAAATGGCCAAAAGTTAATTTTTTTTTTTGTACTGTTAGCTTTCTCTGCAGCTTTCCTCATTGACTACATGGAAAAAACAAAACAAAACAAAATGTCAAGTGACTTCTAGGGAAGTAGCTAAAACGAGTTCAAAGGTGCAGGTAAAACTTGACATATTGCTGACATGCAGCAGCTACGATCATCACTTCCCTTGCTGGCATGCTGCAAAGCTCTGCAGTACGGTTACCAGTCTGAAGTGCCACAACAAAGGTATCACCACTTGCCTTTCATCTAGTTTCAAAAGTTGGGCTTTGTTTTTTGTTGTATCACAAAACTCAAAAACTTACTCATCTGAGCAGTACCTGCATGTAAAAAAAGTGCACTCTTAAAGGAAACTTCAAACATACTGCATTATGTTCATCTCTGATCAATATGCTTTTGTCAAAACCTAAATCAACAGAATCACTACAAAAGAGTCACACTTCTCCCCCTAGAGTTTAGTGGAACACAGCTCCCATGCACTGATGGTTTGGTTTTAGTAAAGAGCTGCAAAATCCACTAACATAAGGATCAAAGTGTCTCTAATGTGGATTATAGCAAGTTTCCAAACTTCTAGCACTATCACTTCATTGTGCCTTTTTCCAAGAAAAATAGAAATAAAAAAATCTCTGAAAAATATTCTACCTCCAAACCCCTCTCACATCATACAATGCATACAGAAGTTGCATACACAAATGCGAGGGCAACATAGGAAAGAACAATTCAGTTGCAGAATCAACTATTCAGATTAGAAATGCCAGAATTTAAGGTGCTATTGTGCAAGTGTTAAGATATAATTTTAACCAAAGTTGTGTATTTTTCAATGCCCAGAAGAATCCAGAGACAACAATGACAACATACCCACATCTTGCCTAGCATTTGTCTTCAAGAACTTAGCATAATCAACACCACTAATTTTATTCAAAACAATGCGACTAATACTATTTACAGCTGTTAGTGTTTAGCTCTATCTTCCTCTTCCATCTGCTAGCCCAAGCCATTACACAGGCTCCTACAACTATTCTCAAGACTACCTGCTGAAGGACAAACCAATTCAGTTAATTGAAAAAGGGGTGACTACTGAAAAATCCAGCCCACCTCCCCTCACCTACAATGATGGGATTAAACTGCACTGTAATTACCACTGTGAGACTTGTGGGTAAGTTTTGTTGTAATCAGCAAAGCCAGCATTACTGATTTGCTCTGATGAACTCCACTACTACAGAGGACAGGAAAGGATGTTCTGGGACAGGGATAATGCAATATGACAATCCCCTGCTGCAACCCATCCACCTCCAGGTGCTTTGAGGTTTCAGTCTCCTCCCAGCAATTCTATGGAGACACTGGCAAGGTTATCCGAGACAGTACTTGCTGACAGAGTTGGCTAAAACATGCATAAAACAGAAGGATCAAGTAAATATAGAGGTACAATTATTTGGGAAGGAGAGCTAAGAGGCATACCCTGTGTGGGGTTCGATCAAAAGCCCAAGAACAGAAAGTTGTATGCTAGAAACAGGCTTAGGTAGATAGAAGTTTCAACAACATAAATAGAAGCGTGGAAATAATACAAACAAAAAAATAAAAGCCAAATTTAAGAGCCCTAATCATAAACACACAAGAACCATGCTAAAACTGCCTGAGCAACTTTAGTTTTATCATATGCATTTGAGTAGTTAACTTTAATCTGACCTATTACATGTAAATTACAGATAAAACAGTATCTGTTACTGGACTGTACCATTCATTCTCTCAAATACATTGTGTCAACTCTGTATCACTTCAGGCATTAGTTCATTGGTACAGCAACACAGTTTACAAAACTCTGCTCTTCCTACTTAAGCTAAGCAATTTGCATTACCTACAGTCTCCAGTAAAGAAATACTTACAAAGTCAGCTGGGACGTTGAGCTTGTAAAGCTGTAAAATAGACTGCAGTAAACTGGATACTTGACTTGAAACCAAAACATCCTTGCCTAACTTCATATTGTCCATCATCTTTCTCTGGCTTGTAGCTACTTGTACGTTCCATTTATCTGTGTCTGCAATAATGCAGACAGCTTCTGCGATGGGCTCATCTAGCACTGGATGCTGCAACAGATAAAGAATACAAGCATTATGTGACACTTTCACATACATTTCCTCAACTCAGTTTTGAGGTTCCACTTTTAGTCACACTGAGGCAGGGAATAAGGAAAGCGAACCAACAGGAAACCAAAGGCATCTCAAAAACGACAAGGAATACCAACTTCAGTGACAGAGTTTACATCTCTCAACATTGGGTCAGTTAAGTCTTAACTGACAATTTGATCAAGGCATTTAAATAGTGCTTCAAAGTTACTACTCCAAAACTTTTTTTCAAATATTCCACCCTTCCTGAGAAGACAAGTTCCTTCCAAAATGGAAAGAATAATAATTTTACTGATCCAGTGCTGGTGAAAGCATATTTAATGTTTCAGAGCTATATGAAGGACTTCACTCTGTACAATCAGACCAATCTGATATTGTTTAAAGAAGTTACATACACGTGCATCACTGTTCCAGGTAGCACATGAACTTACTCCAGCAGGATGATTAATTGCTGCAGAGCAGCTGTTGACAATAAACATTTAAAATTGCACATCAAGATCACACAGTTACTTTAGTGAAAGGTTAGTTATTAATTATGTAATTTAGGAGTACCTGAAGTAGAGCAAGAACATGGCAAAGTTACTACCTACAGACAATTACTTTTCTGTAGTCAGTCATTTCTGCTACAGTTTAGTATAATATAGGCCTCCACAAGACTTCATCTCCCTTGCAACACATGCCACTAATGGCAAAATAAGCTGTTTCAACTTGCACATAATTTTATGATATATAGATAATTGTCAGCTATTGTGACTGAGAAACAGTCTGAGGTTTTTTCCTTGTTTATAACTTGAAGTTGCAAACAATTTTCCTTGCGCTTATCTCTGAAGAGAAACCTTAAGACAGTATAAAGGAAAGCACATGTGATTCTTGTGTGAACAGGCTTTGCATATAATGCATTAAGGGCTTACCTCTTCCAAGAAGGAAGACAGGCGTGGCTGTTACAAATGATAAGTAGAAAGAAGCCTATTCAAAGGACCTGCTTCTGTAAATCTTAGTAATATCACAACTACTGCTATAACTCAGTACATTAACTCACATGCATTGCATGAAGTAGGTCTGCTAATAGACACTGCTTGAGTTTTTCATCATTATTTATTCCATGCAGCACTAGATCAGGTATATATGTATGACAGTAACCACCTAGAAGTGATCTTCCAAAATTTTTCACACATTGACTGCTGATTGTATTTGACCTGAAATACAGAAATACAAAGCATGTAAGATTCTTGCTTGACAAACTGATTCAGATTTTAAATGAATGAGAAGTTTGGTTTATCACCCCTGCTTCTATTGTAAGTATCAATCAACACTGTACTCAAAATACACAAAACCAATTACTGGTGCTCTTTGAAAGAAAGATTTTAAAAGCTGAACTTTAACAAGGTATCAATTCCTTTGAATTTATAAAAAGGCAAATCTAAATGTATTAGAGCTTGTGATATATATGAGCTCCATGTTCTGTACCTAACAGATTGCTAAATTTGAGTTTTCTCCAACTCAGCCCAAGCAGCAAACTTTCTAGTTACCTACCTTAAGTATCAGCAAGTTCCATTTGCACCTGTAAAGCTCAAAAGTTTTCAAACAAGATGCCCTTATTTATTTCAAATGTCTTTGATTTGTCAAATTTGCTTGTCCTCAGATGTTCTGTCTACATTAAATGTTTCAGGACGCTTATATGAAAAAGTAATCAATCTTTTTTATTAGACATATGAAGGGCATCTTTGTCACAAATTTCACTACTTAACCCTGCTCCGTCTTAGTTTTCTTTTTCCCAAGTCTGGTTACAAGAATCCTACCCACATCAGTGTCTGTTATCGATTTGTTTGCAAGGAACTTACTCAAGATCCCAGAGGATTTCGGACTTTAAATCCTGAACACCTCTGAAGTAGCAACAGTTTTTTACTCCATTTAGTTCTAAATTAAACTACTTTACCTTGGTAAAGGCAGTTCCACTTCTGCAAACTCTTCAAGTCTTTTGCTGACATTATCATGATGTACTTCATCAGAGATACAACAATCACCTTCCTCATCACTGGCTCCAAGAGCACTGTCTGAACTCTCATTCCTTGGAATGTCCCCTTCAGCTCTGAAGGAGCTTTTCCTTCCAGCATCCCCATAGGGGACATCTTTAGCACCTACTTTAGGGGAATCCTGTTTGACAGCAGAACCTACTTCTACACAGCTAGGGGAATAGTTCTCCAGATTGCCAGAGCATAAAGTTCTAGTTTCTTTCAGGCTTGGCAATTTTACAGTTTCTAAATTATCCGTGGGCAAAAGCGGTTCACTAGATATCGTGTTCACTAAATTCATTTCAGCTTCTTTACTTTCTGTATGTTGGTGAAGTATATTCTCCTTCCTCATACAAGGTGAGATTTGTGCATAACAAACATCACGTTTACTGAAGGGTATAAAGGCAGCTTCGCAACTTTCTGTTTGATTCTGGGAAGCATTCACAGGCAGATTTGTGAAACTTGAGGAACAATGTATCACCTCTGGATTTTTTCTCAATGATCTCAGATTTTCTTCCATTTCTCTTCTATGAGTTTCTAAGTCTGACTCTGGTGATGCTGAACTTCCAATCTGAAAAGTGACCTTTTCCAAGTGTGAACTCCTGTGGCCAGACCCTTCAGGACAAGGTAAGGCAGATGACCTACCAGACAACTGGTTTTCCACTTTTCTCTCATTCTGATTCCTGTTCATCTTTATCTCTGTTAAATCCTCCAATTTAGATGGCTCTTCAAAGTGGTAGGATACAACCCCTGCATCGGTGACAATTCTTTTCCTACTGTCAGCCGTTCCCTTATGAAAATTGCTAGTTAGACAGTCAACAGATGCTTCGGAGTTCTGACTGGCTTTTCCTATCGCTTCTTTCTTCTCTTTTGAAGAGGCTGGGACAGCATGAGTGCTTTCTGGGTCATGTGCCCACTCTGCAACACTATTGTTCTTACTTTCATCATTCTTTGGAGGTAGGATTGGAGGCACAAGAGCAGGTTCATTTTTAACAGTGACAACAACATAATCAGACTCCTCTACCTCTCCCCTTTCTAGGGCAGTTGTGATCTTGCTTCCATTTAGCACTTGCTCTTCTATCCCAGCCTTCTGACTCCATGTCAGCTGATTTTCCTGCAGCTCAGAGCACCGAATGAAGTAAGTTAGAACATAGAGCAAGCGCTGCACCAACTCCTTGCGTTTTCCAACAATAACAGTTCGAGTCAATCTCACCGGGGAGCCTATGGCACCATAGAGATCACCTATACAGGAAAACAATCACATGTTTATGTCTGGTTGTGATATAGGCCTAAATTCAACATATTTTGAAACAGCATTTACTATGGACACAAATCAGACAGTTCGTTTCTTTCACAGCAAGTTCATAAAAGTTTAAAACAAAGATTAACAAAAGCACGTCTAATAAGTTTTTTGTTCAGAAGGGTTTTGGTGGTTTTGTGAGTAGCTGCTATTATTCGGTTTCTTTCTGTTCAAAGCCACTAAAGGATTTTATTTACGTGATGGTTACAAGGTATAATCACTTGGAAATTGACACAACAGGGGGTGAAAAGGAATATAAATCCAGCTATGCTGTTTTCTATTTTATTACATATTTTCTTTCACATTAAAGTTGTTTTATTTCAGTAACTTTTTCTGTTAAACACAGGAATTTTCATACAGATAAAATCTAAATTATTTTTTTCAGGACCAATATAAGAAAAGCAATAAAGGATTCAATATTAGCTTAGTAATGTTCTGAAAAAAGAGGCATGTAACTACCTGCTGGGCTAGGCACACAGACTTCTATGTACTCGCAGTCAACCTCACTAACATGAGCATCTATCTTTGGCCTGGGATGGCAGAGAACTAGAAAATGTATTCACTAAAAATATAACTGTAAAATGAGAGGTAGAAACTACAACAGAAGTGTGTTCCCCATCTCAGTTCCCCCCAGGAACTGCCTATTTGCTAGTTCACTTATCCTGGAGAACTGTTGGGGTTTTGTTTTTTTAAACAGAACTAAGGTCATGCATATCCTGCTTTCAACATATTTGTTTGGGATAGTGACAACTATCTTTAGCTGCCTATAATCCTCTATCAGTTGAAGGGTTTCTGCCCTTAAGTTCTGGGAGAGGTAAGCACAGATAGTAAATAAGGTAAGTTCTCTTATCAGACAAAGATAGGTTAACTCAAGAAATGTCTATTACCAGGTTCAGTTAACCCAGCTGTCTTCATCTGACAACCATTAGTGAACACTCACCTAATTGTCTTTTGCCTATCCAAACTATGGCTGATATCACCAGCAGACAGGAGACAGCCACCAGCTCAATTTTCTTTACCCATCATAAGTGTTAACCTTGAAATCAGGCTTCTCTGAAGCATGGCTTTACCAGCTACCTGCTAATCTACCCTATTTGTTTAGGTGGCAAGTCCTTGCTCAGGGCTGCTCAGATGTTTTGGACCAAGTTTGCCACCAGGATTTTGTGCCAGACCTCAAGAAGCTGCACTAAATGAAAGCTAAAATCAGAGCTTCAGGAAGGTTTCTGCCAGGAGCAAGAGGGCCTCTGGTTTCAACATGAGGAGACTAAAACATAAAAAAACCCCACACAACAAAAATGCAAACACATTTATACTCAGACCCCTCTTCACCATACATAACATAAAAGGAACAAGGCTCCTGACTCCCACTCCTATAAAACAAGGATTAATGAAACAGTAATTCCACTTCTTTCAGTTACTGTCACCCCTGCCAAGATCTGCCATTTCCCGTAATGATAGCAATGCACTGAGGAAGCTGCTGTGTGGTGGATTTATTGTCTTCCCCTCATAAAGAACAACTTTGCAACTAGCCCCATAGCCTAACACACCAACAAACTCACTCCTCACTAATGCAAAGTGGGCTTCAGACTACTCTGCTGGAACTTTCCTCAATGCCAGGTGGGTTACAAGGACTAGCACTAGGAAAGGAAATGGGAAGATGTATTTTTACTTTTAAGTTGAGCACAGTTGCTATGGAAATCAGATTCAGGCTTTACGTTCATTTGTACAATTGACTTTTATATAAAACATTACCAATAAGTCAGTACAAGAATTCAAAATTGTGGTCTTCAAAACATACTAATGCCAACTGTTAAAACCATTAAAGCTGACATTTAAGGCAGCATTATGTCTTCCTGACAGTGGTACTTGTAACTGTAATTGATATGTAGTATATAACAAAAACATGAGTCTGAAGGTGGAAATACACAGGTACGGAAAAATCTTTTCCTTAGTAAAAAGTAATTTCCATTTTAAAGCACTAAGCTCAATTTTTTTATTTCCCCTCCACCTCTTTCTAAAGACCACCAGCAGAGGGCAACATCTTACTTTCATTATCAATTACTGCAACTGCCAGATAATGGCTTTTGGACTTTACAAGAACAAAAGAAAACTAGAAATCATTGAGTTCAGGCATTGAGAAATCGGGTAGGCCAATGCTGGTAGCAACATACAAGCTGGGGAGGTAAGAACAGAAACAGATTCTTGATTAGTCACTAGTAGTAGCTTCTGGGAGCGATCACAAGAGCTACTGCATCCAGTTCAGCTGGTTTTTTTTTTAACCCCAGGCCTGGCTCCGTCCTCAAAAACCTAGAAAAGCTACCATTTTACCCTCCAAGTCTAATCCATTAGTCCTCTGCATAACACTTTAAAGACATCCTAAACCAGGAAATACATCTGCCAAGGTAGCAGTTCTTACTTTCATAAAGATAGCTGAGAAAAACAAATGTATCTGAGACAATGAGAAAGAAATAATCAGCAGCACAGTGTAAATGTTACATTACTGTTTTACTGTGCATGTGTGTTACTTTACACTCATATATATCAGTTAATATACATATAAATATCAGTTAAAGTTAAGGCCAATCTGACATCAGACTTGCAGCTGGTTCCAGGAAGAGGAATTTCCAGGGATTTACCACTGGCAGCATTATTCTCTCAGCTCTCACCTATTCTTTTGACAGCAGTTATTTAATCCCCTGTATCAAGATACCTTAAAAGCTATTTGTCCAAGAACAGCCTGAAGACTTTGGCACAAGCCCACTCACGTAACTGTGAGTGAATGGAGGTAGTGCCAGTTGCCAGACTTCTACTCTTATCTTGGTGTCCATCCTAGCTCTGAGAAAGAGATGAAAGGAGGTAGCCAGGGCAGTTTCAACTACAAATGGCCCTCAGGGCCCAGAAAACTGCTCAGACTACTCACAGTACTTGCACCATCTTAATACTTCTATACTAAGTTACTTAGCCAGGCAATGTAACAGAGGATGACAATGAGGGACCAGGTAAAAAAGCAGAGCACTCAGGCTATTTAAACCGGCCTCCAAATTCTCTGTTTTAACCATGTGCAAGACATCCTCTGGTAGCTCTGCCCCGGTTACAGCCAGGTACATCTGCAAGTGTGATCTGGATCACAAATAGCTCTTAGATAAGAGAAGTGAACACAGGAACGTGCTAGTTATAGAGAAGTCTGAAGCTTTCCATTTCCTACTGACCAAGCTGTGCCCAGAGAGGGTTATATGGATGGGATTTTGCCAGCATGTTCACAGACTGTGATGTGCGCTTCTCAGAGAAGGCCTTTATGGGAGGATGGTCAACTGGCATTACTGTTGGGACCCAAGCCAGATGGTATGTCAGCACAGCAGTTAACAAAGCAGCAAAGAACCTAGAAAAAAGAATACGACCAATGTAACACCAGCAAAGGAATGTCCCATTAAGTGCTTTAACACATGCACTGGGATGCATAAAAGCTTTTACTTAAGAAAAAGAGGGTGGAGGAAGCTTACTGATTTTTGTTGATCTGTTCTATCAGAAATGTAAATTCTTTAAGAAAACGCTGGCATAGATGACTCTTTTCCAGGGTGCTGGACATCATATTGAGCCACACAGGCTCTGCAATCCTTGGAACAGAATATAGGTTCCAGATGGTAACTCTGCTCAAAGAAAAATCCACAAAAGTAAGTGTTAACATGCACATTTTAATCTTGCAAACAAAAATAACCCTTTTCCTCTTCTATTGTCCACCGATTTTTACTTCTTTTTTTTGTAAGATCTAGGAGACTGAACAAACTGGAAGAGTTTTATTCTTCGGGTAATTACTATTAATTACCTGTGCCCCAGAAAATATGTCTAATTTGGTATACCAGAAACTTAGTGTCTACATGTGAATCACATGTCTTCCCTTTCTTACATTTCCTCATGTATTTGTACTCAGAAAAATGATTCAGAAATCATTTTGAGGGGGAATAGAACCTATTCTATTCATTGCAGTGATTCATTTCCACATCCCAGACATTACAGAAACTCCATCCCACCAAAGCCTTGTCTCTCTCTCCTAGCCTGCCTTTCTTTGCCTCTAGCCATACTTCCTCTCTTAGGTACCAAAACCTTTGTGCCTTTGACAGCAACTGTCTTGTCAGCAACTTAAGTTACTGTTCGGCATCTATGGCTGGGAGTAGGCAACTTATCTGCATAAATGTAAAAATCAATCCACTTATCTGCAGAGGCATCAGCAGAAGCCAACTCCTGATGAGATCTTAAAGACTAACAATCACAGCTATAAGTGAGCACAACAGAAGTATTTTTGCTCTTGTTCTGAAAACAGGTGAGCTGGTTTTAATAAAGTTCTTTAAAAACATTTACCTAATACCCAACACAGAAAATTCATTCACTCTAACATCAAGACTGGCTAAATTACAAGACCCTGCATTCAGGAAGTGACAAATATCTTAAGAGGGGCATGAGAAGAACTCTCCTTGTAATTCAGAATTCTGTTAACTCACCTGAATTCTCCCAGGGCATCCATGACACGGCTGATATAAACCTGCACCCTTTGGCTGGATTCTGCTATTTTTCTACATGAGATCATGGCCTTGATTAAGAGTTAAAGACACAAAACAGCTTCTTAAGGGATTCGCATTCTTCATTTTTTTAAGCTTCATTAACATGTCAAAATAATTAAGGTCTAGCCCCAGTGCTATACAGCCACTCAGGACACCAATAGCTGCCAACCTCCCTCCACCTCATGAGAGGCCAATCCCTGAGACTGGGCATGGGGAGAGAAGAAATATTTTGGGGAGTGTGGAGAAGACAGCAACAAACATTTTGTGTCTCTTTTTAAGTGACTGCATGAAAGAACAGAATAGCACCATTTCCACAGTCTCTGCCAGTCAAGAAACCCTCACAGTGAAATATGGTAAGAAGTGAAGAAAAACCACCCATAGCATTAAACTCTAAATTCTTATTCCGACTGGAAAAGAAACTGCACCTCATGCAGCAAATGCTGAATTCCTACACTGGGCTCAGGCTCAAGACTACATGTGTAAGGAGGGAGGGAAGCTCAAAACCACACACCTTCTCCCACTCTTAATCTATCAGATTCTAGAATACTTCATGTTGTTTGACACTTTTCCACATTAAGACAAAACTAGTATTCTGTACCTTTTCTATTGCATATTTCAGCTTGTTCATGTGAGATTCAAAAAGAGGGAAGTGAGAGAAAAAGAAATCCTGGAAATCTCTCTGTGCTTCTTCTTTTTCAGGCAGAGAAAAGATTATACTGATAGCAATTTTTTTCCGCCGAACTATTGCAGGATTGGAGCTGCAGCTTTCATCAGCCATACTAAACATTTCTTCAGTGGACCTGTAAGACAGATTTGTGCAGACAGTTACCTATGTACTGAGAGTTAATTTGTCTTCTATCCCTATTTCTCTGTGCAGTAGAATGGAATTCATTCTTGGGTCTCCTTTGACTCGCTACAGCAGACTTTGCTATCACCTGTCTCTGAACAGAGGATACCCAATATTTTGATGGATAAGACCAATGCTTGCTCAGATAAGAAGAAGGCAACTCCCAAAGAGGCCAGCTCCTAAAGTAGTGTGAATAGCTTCCTCTGAAACACAGCTTCTACAAAATCCCTCCTTCTGGATTTAACTTTAAAGGGGATTAAGCGAATGGAGATATGATGCATAAAATCATTAGTAACAAAGGTTAAAGGTAATTTCAGAGCTCTAAACTGCACCCAGCACTCAAGTTCCTGCCTGTGATGCTCTTCAATCTATACTGCTCTTCATTAGCAAAGTTGGGAAACATGCTACCTATGCTGCTCCAGCATCTTAAAATGGATGTTTTAAGGCACTTAACCGTGCAAAATAAAACTTTCTATTTTAACAGAAGACTAAATGTCACCACTTAGTAATTACTGTGAAAACACAAACTTAACGCCTACAAATAATGTGTGACTAGCTGAAAGCTACATATACTTCAGTTTAAAATGAAATGTTTTTACCTAAAAAACCCACCCCAAACCCACCCAAAAATCCAAACAGTGGCTATTTTACAACCATTATTATTCCCCAGGTTCTGTTTATCCACTTGATGGTTCTGCCACATCTCTTTCAACAGTTATGCCACTTTTCAATATCACACATGGGTTGACACAGGGATCAATATTGTTCAACTTCTTGGTTATCAACCTGGCAGTATGTGGATCAAAACAGACCTTCAGTGAGTTTGCAGATGATGCCAAAGGGGTAAAAAAATGGTCAATGGACCAAGGAGGCTGTGTAATCCCCATCCTTTTAGGTTTTCAAGACTCAATTAGACAAGTTCCCCAGCAATCTGATCAAAATTCTAAGCTAGTCCTTTACACAGGCAACTGATTTGAATTATATCCCAAAGTCTTAGCCCAGCATAAGTTTTTTTGCTATAACACAAAAAGGTGGCAATCCCCTTATCTTGCTCCTCCATAAATACTTCCACTGCAGTGCTCAATACTGATGTTGCTGGATTTACAGAGCTATTACTTTTTCTTGCTTAAAGTTCCTTGATCAATTTCACTGAAAAGAAGGTCTCTAAAAAAGTATTACTTCAATAAGTAAAACAGTATGATCAAAATGTCTTTTGGAAGGAACCTGAATAGAATAATGGCTTTTAATCCACTGGGAAATTACAGGGGAAGAAGGGTAAGAACAGACAAGGAAACCATTAGAACATAAATGGAGACATTCAGAGTAGCAGCTTATATGGAAATAGCTTGGGTTTGGAGTTTCTTTGTAAGTTAAGACTGTAGTATCAGTGAGTGGTAATTAAAAGCTTGAAGGCTTTTCATATTAGAAGTATCTTGAAATGGAGCCTGTGGCATTTATAGACCACTATGAAGCAATTAACAAGAGGAAAGCCAGAATGCTAAGCATTCATTCTAAGTTCATTCTGAAAGTAAGTGGTTTACAGTATAATTGGTTTGACAAAGTTAAACATTCCAAAGTTTCTCATCATAGAGGTATGAGTTCAGGAATACAGGAAAACACACATACAATAAAACCCATTAAAGAAAAGTTTGTGGGAAACCAGAGTTCAAGACAAAAACATAACCTCATTTGAACTTCAGGAACTTGCATGCAGAGACACAAATTCCCAAGGAAGTTGGGAAAGGATGGTCAGTCAATATCTAAGAAACATCACAAGCTTTTGTACTGTTTCCCAGGAACAGAAATTGAAGAATTTAGGTCTGTGAGAGAAGCCTTTTCAACAAAGCTGCTAATCTATCTTGCCTGCCAATTGACTACATGGAGTTCCAGCTAGACAGCTCATTTTCTTTGAGCTACTGGCCTAAAATATAAGTCACAGAGAGTGTAGAATCTTGGCTGTACAAACTGAAGTACAAACTCTGCTGGCACTGAAGTATTCAACCAAAAGCCTACTGTTTTTTTTAGGAAGTAATCAGAAAACAAGTATCTACTTTAGCTTAGAAAGAATTACAATTCAAGAGTAGTTCTAGATAGTGGAAACAATAATGCCCCGTTTCTACTATCTTTCCCCAGCATACACTCTCCAATGTGGAAGAAAAACAACCTACTCCTTACAGTGAAGCAGCAGCCCAAAAAGGCTACTTTCCTCTAAAGTATTTGTTACTTTAGTAGCACTCTGAGGAAATTTCTGTTTCTGAAACTTTGGCTACTTCTTGAACTGAGATGAAATTCTCTTATTTGCCCTAAATGTTTTAACTTTTGCACTGCTCTTAGCCTTATTTCCTTATTAGGAAACTAGATTAAAAATTACTTCAATTTACTGAAAGCAAAATGCTTGCTAGCTTATTCTCAACTGCAAACATGATTTAAGAAGCATGACTGCTACACTGACATCACTGCATTATTCTTAATGTTGAAAATGATTCTGTAAAAATATCCAGGAAAAAGCTTTGAGTATGGACACTAGGGAAAGAAGTATTTTTAGAAAGGTTTTGGTTTTCTTTTTACTGACCACGTATTTTAACTGGCAGCTTTTAAGCTTCACTTAACTGAAAACAGTGATGAGGGAAAGAGGCCAAACAGCAGGAATTTCTTGTAGCTCTGCATTAATTCCACGCTGTCTTTGTGTGCAGGTGGATGAGAACATATGAGCAGATAATCAAGAACCATTTGTATTTCGTAACTGTCAAGGGAAGAATTTGCTTATTAGCTATGAAAGGTCTGCTACATTCCATGCTTTGTTATGCCACTGAGCTACAAAAGCTAATAAAATTCCAAAACAGTAGCCAGGCTTTTTGATCACTGCTTTTTTTCCCCTTCCTGTTTTGGCAGAAGTCACATGAGGAACACCCTGTACCAGCCAAGAGAGTTGTCATGGGTTATTACTCCAAAATTTCAGTAACCGCTCACTAGTCAGACTTCATCATAGTATAATGTAACTACTGCAGCAGTACTGTTACAGTACCTTTCATTTTGACAGGATGCTCTGCTTCTTCAGAAATTATTTACTTCTACTTTACTTTTCAGAATGTGGCTTCAGACAGAGCCTATATGCTCAATAAAAATATTTCAAATCAGGCCTTGTAGTTCTTATGCAGCCAGAACTTGTTCTATCTTTATATTGGCAATCTTATGTAACACACGCAGAACTTAGACTGAATTGAGAGCATTTAATAACAGGATTTGTACTTCTAAAGAAAAAGAGGCTTAAGCTCTATTTAGCTTAAAAAACTGCCAAACAGCTGGTATAAGAAGAAAGGTGCTGCACTCACCACCTTGGAATAATTCCGTTCTCTAAACTGGTTGTCTGACTGCGGAGCCAGCGACGTTGGTAGCTGCTGGAAGATGATGATGAAGAGCTTGGAGATGGAAAAGGAGTGACCAGAAGACTGCTCAGAGATGCTATCAAGAAAGCAAGAAACCCCACATATACTGAATTACAAAGAGTGTTAAATATTTTTCTTCATACTCTGTGAACAATTTCCCCCAGATAATGCTCTTGCTTGCTGATCTTCCTCACATAACTCATTTGCAACAGGAAACACAAACATTTTAAGTAAATCTTGCTGCCTGAAGATATTCTTTTCTTAGTCAGATATTCCCTACTAGCATATATTAAAAGTCATCTTATTCTCATTAGAAGCATTCTGTCATAAGATGTGTTGACCTCCTATGACAGTAGACAGATCCCCTGGCCTCCTTTTCCTATTCAGTGCAAAAAAAAAAAAAATCATCTCTTTCCTTGCTTTAGTAAAGGCTTGAGTCAGTTCTTTCTCCATAATATAAATTGGTTGGCAACCAAGAAAATAACTGCTGTAAACAAAGAACTTCATTACAAATATTCTCACATCAAGGCCTGGGGAAAAGCAGAAGGAAAACCACTTAGCAGATCCAAAATAGTTTGGATTTGTGGGTCAATAGGTGCCTACATTTCAGGTGAATCACTACACCAAAGAATTTTAACATAATTGCAAAAGCAGGCAAACAAGTCAGACAGCAGATACCTGACCGAGCAATGCCACTGTCTCTGTCCTCATTTTGTCCTCTGCTAGGCATATCAACAGGCGTGCTGTGGGCTAAAACAAACAGATCAGATCAATAGAAAATATTACAAAACTCATCATACTATTTGTCAGCATTTTAAAATCATGTTTACGTTTAAAGGTCGTAAAGCAGCAAAGTTACATCCTGTACTGTCACCCTAAATAAGCAATATGGTGTGTGCAGAGATGGCAGCAAACAGTATTCCCATACTGAGCACTATGTTACTGGAGGAAGCTGGCTATCTGCCCCAATCTGTAAAACATCTCTAATAAGCTTAAGAATGTGAACACAGTCTACATTAGCAGAAATCACATATGCTTTGAAAATGAGGGCTGGTGGTACCTCCCCCACCCCGACTCTGCCACTGTTGTCATTCTTTGCGTGCGCAAGACTAATTTTATACAGGTTAACATCGTAATGGAATAGTCAAATACGAGGTCCATTAAGCTTCTGATTCACTCCACAAGCACAGATTTATTATTCAAAGCCTCACAGTGAGAAACACTCAGCCTATGCTGTATTACATTGAAGTGTTAGTAGTACAGAGGCACTCAAATTGAGGAGCATGCAAGATTCACAAAGAAACTGCATTGGTATTACAGTTCACATTTTTGCAATTACCAGAACTAATTAGGCCTAAGATCTGCATGGGTCATCAGTATGCCTGTAAAAGAAGACTTTAAACTACATCAAAGTTTTGATAATTAGAGAAATAGATATTGTTAAAAGAAAAAAAATAAAACCAAAATCAAATCTTAAAGCCTCCCAAGAACTCATGAATTAATTCTGAATGTCTGCCATCAAATTAAAAAAATAGCAGCAAGAGGTAAGAGAAGAAAAAGCTGTACACCACCAAGACACCTGCACACTAGCAAGAAACCAGCTATAAGCCAGGAAACATAAGCTCTCTAAGAAACATAAGGGCTCATTTATCATTAAAAACACTGCACTATAATACCTTTAAAATGAAACACATGAATTAGAAAATAAATACAAACAAAAAGTAATTAATTTAGCTTTTTTCAACAAGAAGGATTTTTAAGTATAAGCCAGATATATCTGTTGTCAGTATTTTAGCCCCTTCTGTTTCTGTAGAGTGGTTATGTACGCCCTGCAAAGATTCAAAAGGAGCTGGATTTGTGTGTACATATGGATGGGTCACACTGTGGCTGGCATTCCACACAAACCTGCAAAGAAAGAAGCACTGCGGATGAGCCGGAGGGGACCTCCTTCAGACACACCCTGCAGCAGTTTGCTGCTACACAGCTGTAACACACCTAGGAAACAAAAGCAACGTAGAGAAAACGCAATGCAAAAATGTTTAAAATAAAGACACACAGACAAGAAGGTGATGCACAGGAAAGAACCAAACTGAATGAACAGATGGCCTCATGTTGTCAGAAAGACACAGAACCTGGAAATATTTACCTAAGTTACTTCCACTGCGACAGGTTCCCAAACCATTCTGATTCGAGCTCAGCTTTCCCAGGCCAGGATCTTGGTTGATGTATTCAAAGCTATCTTGTAAACTAAAAAGTGTGAATAAAGTCAGTATTCCTTAAGAATGTGATCAAGAGGCATATTAGCTTGACAATTAGGCTCATTTTATGGAAAAAAAAAAGAGGACTGAAGATTACAGTCAAACTCAAGTTTTTTCTGAAACTGTAAGGAAACAGACATTTACTTTCTACATAGGCTCCCCTTTGATTTACTGGAAGTTTCTCCACCTCACACCTTGGGATTCAATTTATTCACATTTGCTCAGTTTTGGGACAAGGAAAAATAGAACAGGTGAGAAACAGTGTATCTTCACTGCTGAAGGAAACAGAAGTGGGGTACAGGGACATAAAGGTTTCTCAGCATACCCTTTTTTCACCCTTGGGGCAGCAGGAAAGGATAAGAGGCTTTGACTGTACATGGCACCTAACCTCTGAAGTTTATTGCATGTCCTGGGCAAATAAAGAAGCAGAAACTCAAGAGATTTTATTTTTTTAAAATTTAGGAGGCCTGGCTGGGATCCACTAAGAGAATCCTTCTCCACAACCTCCATTTCATATTTTTTACTAGATTTTCCATTTTGTTTAAGTCATCTTTAGAAGCAGTGACAGAAGGGCTACAAATGGATAAAAAATAAAAGCCAACTGCATTGGATAGGGAATTAAAAAAGAAAAGATATAAATAAAGTTCTTACTTATTGTTGCTTCCACTGAAGCTTCCTACCCTGGCTGAGAAGACTCTACTTATCATCAGCTGTGGGGGAGAGCTGAAAGGATAAACAGTCATTTCAGTGAGTCATCAATTCCAAGTGCCTGACAAGAGAGTGCATCACAGAAAAGGACACTCACCGTATGTAGTGAATTTTCAAGGTGGAGCCTTTGTAACTCATTGCCACTGAGCCAAACATCATTTCTCCCAGCATGTTGACATCAGAGGCTGGTCTGGTGTACTACACAGACAAGAAGATGGGAAGAGCAGAGTCAATAATAAGTTGGCATACTTTTAAATCCCTTAGTGCTACATTTTGAATAAAGAATACAAGTTCTGCTTCTCCATGCAGACTAAGATCCTACATGGTTTTAACACAGCACAAGTACAAGCAAGTACAGCTGGAAGATGTACTCTGTTCTGCTCACTAGATGGGCATTGTTACTCTTGGCTGCAGGGGGACCTCCAAAGGCAAAAAAAAAATAAAAGGAATAAAGATCTATTGCATTTCGAAAGAAATAGCAATGTTCCCATATACAGTGTTTGATGAAACCTGGAGGTGTCCATAGGACTTACATCCTGTAATCTGGATGCCCAAGTATTAAACTGACCTTATTCAAGTGAGTAAGCTCTCCTACCCTTTCTGCCCTTGCAGAAAGTTTCCTGGAAACGTTTTTGATTAAAAATTAGTGAGGACTGTGTTTCTAAGAATAATCAGACTTTTTTTTTTTTTTTTAATTTTGTTTCAAAGACTGATCAGCAATAGCAAATATTTTTCTTGGTGAAATGTTTATACTTTTACTGAGAAAGAGCCAGAGTACCTGAAACAGTTCTCTTGATTTCATGTTCTAGTAAGACAATCTAAGGGTCTCTTAACGTACCACATTCAACATGCTCTTTAGAACTGACCTGAACCATAGATAGAGATCTTTCAAACCAAGAACAGAGAACAGTACAGTGCTTGTTATGACCTTCACAAATAGTAATGCTATTAAGTATCTTCTGTAACTCTTTCAAAGATAAGACCAAGATAGACCAAAAGGTTAAGATATACCCACATGCTCTTAGCCTACAACAATTTAAACACAGGGCAGATATCACAAGGTTCAGATTAAATTGCAATGCACCAGAAATAAAACTAGTCATCCAATGCATGTAAGTTAAGGCTTTTAAATACAACCTTCTTCAGTAAAAATGGATAAATACAGGCAAGAAAAGTAATGAGCATTACCTGATACTTTGGTATCTGTTCTTTGATACTGTGCATACAGTTTACAGAGGGACTATGGGAAGAAATATTGTTGTTCCCATTGCTTGCTTGGCAGTTCTTGGCAGAAGTCTTTACAGAGGCATCCTCTACCATTTTCTGTATCAAAACAGAGCAATATGGTGAAGACAAAGCAAACATGAGAACTCCCACCTCTAAGCATAGCATAGCAAGATTTTTTTTCAACTACAGGTAAGCAACAGAAATAAGAGATACTCTTACTGGGTTAAAAAAATAGGTATCAGATTTAAAAGATGCTTTTTAAAAGACCAGCATCAGAGGAAGTGCAGAACTACTCTCATATTTGTATTGTCAGACAAGTTTTCATAGTGTCACATACAGAGTTATTGGTCAGAGTTCCACTGGAAGACCATTCCCAATTATTATGAATCCCTCTGTGTTAACATTTGCCAAAGTTTATGTGAACAAAATCTGAGCTTGTGCATTGCTTACAAACTGATTTCTGTAGTCATTTGCACAATTAATCACTGAAATTGCATGTAACTTTTGCTGCTCAAGTGATTAACAAATTTCTTAAACAGAAGAACAGCAAGCACAAACAAGGGGTGAGTAAAGTATCATTTGGTACAAGTACCTGGCTATAAAGTCTATTTATAAAACCTTTGTTTAAAGAAGAAAACAGGTAAGCAAATGCTTAAATCCAGCTGACTGTTTAACTCAAGCTTACTCCCAAGTCAGTCTTAAGATGTTGCTTTAACAACAGAAAGATGTAAAGGAAGTCTCAGATATCAATTATATTAATGTTATTTGTACATGTTTCATAAGACACTGGAGTTTGCTTAAGGGTTCTGTTGAACAAAACCCAATAAGAGTTTGTTTCCTTTGACAGCTGTTTTTTTTCTTTTCAATTCGAATGTCCATTAGATGTCTCTTAAAAGCACCACATTATTTGAACACACTTCTCACAAGCACTTGAAATGATTTATATGAAGGGAACAGAACTATAACCTTACAGCAATGAAAATTGCTTAGAAAGTCTTAGAAAGCTTCCCTCTCACACTTAAGCTTAAGAAATTCAAAATCCCTGAGTTAACATATATTTAACATGTATTAATATAAACATTCATTCACTTGCTGCACACCAAAATGAAATGTATTTTTCTAAGTTTCATTTTGTATCAGCATAGCTTTAATTCAACAGGAACATGCATCAGCACAGACCAATAACATTTTTTTTCAAATGGTAGCAAGGTACATGTAGACAGCTTACAGAAAAGCAAGCAAGCAAGAAATAAAGGAATAGTAATAAACTAGCTGCTAGTAAAATGCTCAGTAGCTAAATTTACAATTCCTTGGCTCAGCAAGATAAGAAAGGAATGATAACAGGAAATGAAATGGAAATAAAAGTAAAATCCAATATTCCGTAAGACTGATTTTTATGATGAACATTACAGCACAATAAACATAGTTTTAAAATACTAAGTCATGATGACAAGATGATATGAGCAAAAAGAAAAAAAAAAAAGATGCAGAAGAAAAAGGGAGCAAGCTAAGAAAAGTAGAATAGGTGATCAGTCATTTTCAAGAACTGATATATAAACAAGTCAAGCTCCTTTACCCATTTAAAAATAAGCCTACTAGCATGTTAAAAAAGTAAAATCCTGATGTCTATATTTTATCTTGTATTTGCACTCCTTTTCTGCATTTTTTTCCTGGAATAGTATTCATGTGCTGTTGCTTATCTAATCCCAATGTGACTGTCATTAGGGGTTTAGAAAAGCACCAGTGTCAGTAGTCACATGTTTAATGAGCTATTGACAAAAAATGCCTAAAAAAAGTGGTCTGACATACACCATCTACAGAAAGAATTGGAGATTAGATCAAAAACACTGAAAAAAAAATTCAGTATATTAAACAAACACAGGGTTAAATGGAATACAGACCTGTTAGCTCCTCAAGGTAAGTTTACTGTATACTTTAAAGCCAAACAATCTATTTAAATACTCAATGTGAATAAGCTTTACCGTATTCCAGGAAAATCATAGAATCAACTAGGTTGGAAAAGACCTCCAAGATCATAAAATCCAACCATTACCCCAGGGCTGCCAAGTCCACCAATGGATAAATTCACAATATATACATACATACACGCATTCTTTTAACAGGGCTGAGCTTGTGACCAATCTTGACTTAAATTTAAATGAATCTAGTCTCAGGTTTGCTGTTTGATAACATACCAGACAAACAGCCAACATTCAAGATCACTTGTAACATCTATGTGTTTGCATGCTTTTCAAAGTGCTTTGGCTGTTTTAAATGAGCACCTAGATTACTATCTGGCTAGAAAAGATATTGTAGACCTCATTATGTGTTATGAGAAAAGTTCTATGTTAGTGTTGCATAGAGTTTCTGACAGAACGTTTTGTCATTAACTTGTAACGTATTCAAGCAAGAGAAATAATTTGAATATTTAAATGAAGCCAGAAATATATTTCCTCCTCACATGTCACGTTTTAAACCAACTTTAAGATACAAAACACCCCTGATTTGGGGTGGAGTGGGAGGAGAGTGGGAGCAAGATTAACAGACCACTCTGACCCATTTACCCTCTTAAGCAGATGATCAGTCATCAGCTGATGATGCTCAATCTTACGGATTTAGCACAATGGCATATTTGCACTGTGACTGAAATAGAGATTGCTGGGTTTTAAGCACCTTCATAAAGAATTTCTACAAGTCACAGTTATTTATATGTAGCTAGTGATTCTACAATAAACCATGCTAGTCTGACAGGCTGAAGTTGCTGCTTGTACAAAGGTTTCAAAACAACCAACCAACCAAATAAAAATAATTCAATGTAAAAGATAAACAAAGAGCTAGTAGAAAACAAAAACCAACAAAACAACCACAAAACAGAAAATACCAATATTTTACTTGTCTTAAAATCAACCAAGTATAGCACAAAGAATCTGCATCTTGACAGCATCTACTCTTGCTTCTATATGTGTCACCAAAACTCACATGGCCATATATTGCTATTCATCAGTCTTACACATTACAGCATGGTTAGCCAAAGTGAAATTATCTGAATTCACAAAAAGCTAACAGCTGTAATAAACAGAACACCAAAGGAAGACAAGCACACTTAGAGACATGATGAACATCACTTGAACAATGGGACTGCACAACCAGGGCTAACAACAAAAAAAGCAATCCTAGTTGACATTAAAAAGGCTAAGGAAATACTAAATTTAGAGGGGCATAGATTGATTTGCTTGAAAGGAAATCAGATCCAAGTTTTAATACCATATTTGTATTATAAATACCAAGTATGTGTTCAAAGGTTTTTTGGAATCTAACCCACTCTGATTGCAGCTACTGCAGAACTGACATCAAGTGAAATACCACAAGATTAAGAAGTTCACATTGTCATATTAAAATTCCTGCTTCTGGAAAGGGAAAGAAAAGAGCAGTAGAACAAATGAAAAATTAGCATTTCATACCTGAATGACAGCCTCATCAATTCTGCGGACTGCTTTGGAATCAAATAAAACCTGTCTGCCTCTCCTCTCACAGTCTTGGTAAACTATCAGGCGGATTTCATTCAAGTCAAACTCTGAAGTGGACCAGCTGCAGGTTATAAACATAAGATATTAAATAAGCCTGCAAAGTAAGCACACTATTTTAAGTGAACAAACAGGTATTTAACAAATTCATCTTTTAGTCAGCCTTTGCAAGAATCAGACTGTAATCACAGAACTCCAACCAAAAAGGAACTCAAAGGAGCATCTCAGCCCAGTGTCACTGATACATAGACAGGCACAGCCAGACCAGTTTTTATTCAAACTTTCTTCAAAATCTGAAGCATCCTCATTGCAAGGCAGGTGTACTATTTTGTGCAATTCGCTCAGTGGCAATGAAGAACAACGGATTAATATCCTCTTTACTATAGCCTTTCACAAGCTCAAGGCTTGTACCTTCCCTCATCCTTCTGTCATCTAAACAACATAAGACAGATTCCTTTTGATCTATTCCTGTCAGTTTAAGTTACCATCTTCCAAACTTTAATTCTTGTAACTGGAAAACAAGGTTTCTGTTGTTCCATTATTCTTCCTCTTTAAGGTTGCTTTTAGGGATGTTTTAGGGTTCACGGCACAATCATAGATTACTGAGGCTTGATCTGCAATTATGACTAAACTCATTAATAAGTGAAGCCAAGATACCACTGAGATTCAACCTGAAGCAAGCCAACTCTCTCAAGCCAGAAGCTCCTCATTCTTCAGATATACACCATGGTACAAAACTTGCTTCCCTGCATTACTGCAGGAGGCTGAGATAGACTTTATTCCCTAATTCCACAGGGAGTCAGACTGCACATTAGAGCATGGAGGCTTGCCTGGCCCTCAGGTTCAGCTACAGAATATGCTTTTCATGATATGTAGATGAAAAATTGGAATGAATGGAAGAAACCTACTACTGCACAAAGCAGTGCCACACAGTCATATTGCCTTATCCCTGACCTGAATGGATCACATCTAGAGGGTAAGAGTACAACTGTTATTAATAGTTGTTGGCTGAACAAACTGCCTAAGAGACTTCAGTCAAGGCCACACTGATGTTCCAGCCAAAAGGCTGTTTCATTTTGGAATTTTCCCAAACTATGCCCTACAGAGAAGCCAGGTACAGAATTAAGGGGAGGGCATGAAAACTCTATACAGCTGAAAGACAAGAATTTCTGAAGCTATTTCTCTTATTCCATGCTCTGTTAACAGCCATAAATCAATACGATGGTAAACACCATAAACTCCTGCTAAAGTCAGTAAGGTAACCATGGGCAACTGCATTAGGAGCACACTTAGAGACTTGCAAATTTAAAATAATTATAAGTAAAGCCAGCTTTCTTTCTTTTTTGTGCTTCATCATGCATTTCAGACATCAACTCTCCCTTCTACATAGCCATAAAGAAAAATAAGGCTAAATTTGGCACCTTTTTTTTAAAGCTGTAATACCTCATCAAGCCAGGGGGTTCTATTCTATTTTTAAATACCTTGGGACAGAATAAGCTAGATAACAATCTCTATTGTAAGGTACTCTGATACAAGTATACTCTATGTGCATAATATACAAGGGTTCAGTACACATCAAAGCCATACCATGGCACGATGCTAAAGGCTGTTTTGCCATCAACAGTGAGGAAGCTTGTTGATGTGTAGCACATTACCTCCAAAATTCTAGGAGTGCCAGGCAGATTTCTTTTCAAGTCTTCCCTTTCAAAGGGAGTCACAGTCTTAAGTTAACCTGCATGAGATCAGACCTGATACCATTGTTGATAGTTGCCCAACAAAGATCCTACACACCTCACATATACAGAGAGCTGCAACTACACCATCTGTTTTAAAGAGTCTGTTACTAGCTTCTCAGCCCACTGCCTGTGCAAAGCTCTTACAAAATCCAGTTATACAGAATGCAAGAGAAGTCAGAGCCATCAATAGATTCTGTTCTAGTCTGCCGCATGAACCTGATGCTCTTCAGCACCAGATACTGATCCCTCTTCAGTTATACATCTATTTATTTAATTACACACTTTCTACAATACACAATACCTGAACTAACTGCTGCTTTCTTGAAAAGGTCACAGGTCTTTACTCCTTTTAACAACAAAGAAAAGGTAAGTCTCTATGGCCTCAACTTAAATTGCATGCAAGAACTAAGCCTTATTTATCTCCAGGACTAGCGCAGTAAGATCTGTAGTTCAAACCACAGGACTGCAAACCTAAACTGAGAAAGATTCATTTTAGGCACATATTGAGACAATTCAGCCCTTCATCTGCCCATGATGCTAAAAGTATGCTCAGTATTTGCGTTGCATAAATTTAGGTTTTGTTACAAACAGGTGAACTGCCACATTCGGTACTAAAGCAAATTGCGTGTTGCTCGTGTGGTGCCAATCTCTGTATAAAATCCAGTTCACCTGTTATAACAAACACTGAAGTAGAACTCAATATAACCTGCTGAGATGCCTTTCCCACACAGCATGCTAGAATTAAAGACTGCTGTAATCTTTCAGAACTTCAAACAGATTCTAGTACCAGACGGCAACAAGCTAGAGAAGTTACATAAATCTATCATAAAAAGCTTTGTGTGACTAATAGACCAAATCTAGGGAACTAACTTCAGATAATGCTTCTTACAGTGCTAACAAAATATCAAACATGCTTTAATTCTTTCCTCTCAGGCTTTGAATTACCCAGAACACATATGCAGCTCTTGCAGCAGTCCTTACAGAAGAGACCCATCCTACTAAAACCTCATCTGATAAGATTAGGTATACCTATAGGCAATTCATATCGCCATATAAGCCTATAGTCCCATTACTTCCATGTGGAATCTAGCACAAGGCCCAAGACTAGTCAGATGACTGGGATGTTTTTCCTGGCCACAAAAGCTGATGAGCACTACTCACTACTACTCATTAAAGGGTACTTACACCCTTTAATGTTTAAGCCAGCTTACACAACATACAGACCCCAAAATAGGGACAGTGGGATCATCTCCTAGAAGCAGTGTTAGAGAATACAGACAGGACACCGACTTCATTGGTCAGCTCTATTTTCACATTCATAAAAAACAAAACCCTAAACAGTTACTTATCTCCATATCAGCTTATTGCTTATTTAGTAATGCCAAGTCCTTCATGTTCTTAAAAATTAGCTCAAATTAATATGAACTTGTGCAGATGTTCATATTTCAGATTAAATGTGGCTATTTTGACCAAACATAATGTTTTCTTATTTGACCACAAAAACAAGAGCCCCACATATAATTTCCTTCCTTCTTGTAACTATGTGACCCTTCCTGTTACACACCTGCTCTGGTAATTGCTGGACTCTTCCATGAACTAACCAAACTCTCTGCTACAGCAGAAATTTTTCCCAGCACAGTGACATAGATCAGAAATATAGCTGGACAAAGGAAGGAAGCAGAAGGCAATGGAACCTCCACCTCTTGGTGGCAGCATGAGTTACGCTAACTCACTTCATCCGTGGAGCTATATACGTTTAGAAAAGGGCACAAAGAAAACATTCCCTATGCATGTGAAATAAGTATTGAGGCTAGTTAGAATGTTAATTGAGTTCTCTTGTCCCCAAGTCAATTTTCTGACTTCAGTACGCTGAATTGACTCCCTAACGGAAACCAGTTGAAGAAGGATTGGAAAGGTCAAGGCCAGCAGAAGGGGAAAAAGGACAACGGCATGATGCCAGAAAGAAAAGAAAGAGGTGGCAATGCAATTACTCCCTTCTGCATCAGCAGTCTTGTTTGGCCAGCTCAGCTTATCTAACCACACCTTCAGAGTGGATCTTTCCTGCACATGGAAGATGCTAGAACTGAACAAACAACAAATCAAAATAAGTAAGTAAAATCAAGCCATCTGCGTTCATGCCACAGGAAAACCAGGTCGAAGGATACTAAAACAGTACGGATATTTTTTTTATTATTACATATTTATTTAAAGAAAGCCACAAGTCCAGAACAGATTACAGATACCCCAAGTTTTCTCCCCAAATTTCATATTAAGCTCAGGTATGCTTTATTTTCTTTCAAATGGCACATAAGCTACTTTCCTTTTGCTTGTTCAGCATTTTTTCCATTACAGTTACAAGACAGAGGCAAGGAGATCTCTCTGACTTAGGGGGAAGCAAAGTCATTTATTTGTGGTAAAAAGGTCACAAAACATTTGTCCTATTCTGCCCTGAATCAGTATTTTCAGTTAATACAGATCTCCAAATCCTGATCTTTACAAAAGAAGCTTCTGGTTCACCTTTATAGGAATCAGCAGGCATGCAATAACTGAAGGGTGACCTATTAAATTATATGCAAAACCTACTTCAGCTGACCTTAAAACATGTTTGAAAATTGCTAACAACTCATTACCTCAGTGCAACATCTATAGGCTAGAGAAATAAAGAAAAAAAATTAAACATATCTATATCCTTAGATATCTGTCTATATTCTTCTGCTTCTTAGATCAGGAATCCTGAATGTAGAATATTAATTCTAACAGTCCTGGGTATTTGAATTCGGAAAAAGCTGGCCTGAAACATATTTTCAACACAGTTACGTAGCAGTAGACACTTGGACACTGGATATATGCTGCTACACATATGAAAAAGATGTCACAGAAGTCAAACAATCACTACTCATACTCCAGATTAATGTAATGTTTGATCTAGAGGTCATTTACAAGTAAAACAGAGGGTTCCCCTCTGTATTTTGCCCCCCCACTTCACAGCACTCTCTCCTGTCTGTTCTGTGCACTGTTATTACTTGACCCACTAACACAGGAGGTGGCAAAAAAATAAGAGAAACCAATTAGAAAGCTAGAAAGAGAAGGCAAGATTATTTAGCCTTAACTGAAAAGAAAGGCAATTACCCTTCGGGCCTCAGTTTGCGTATACATAAATCTTATATATCAGAGTCAGGAACACAGACTGAGTTTTAAACAATAGTGGAAACTTTCTGGAGTTTCAGTCACCATCACAATCAAGAATAAGCTTCTAACAGAACTTTACCAATTATTTACAAAATACTCTTTCAGGCACAGGATCATAAATCTAACATCAACTAAAAACATCCATTCTCTGTCAAAAATTATATATATATCGAAAAAGTCATATGCATACCTGTTTTGCAGCAATCTAGTCACTTTGCTCACACAGCTGACACTTCGACCTTTCAAAGATTTTCTAATCCTTTCATCCAAATTGGTACAAGAGAGATTAGTTCCAAGCGGTACACTGCTGTTGTTTCTTGCTTTTTCTATTTGCCCCCCTGTGCCATTTGTAGCTTTTGGTGTACCCCCACACATTTTCTTTTTCTACAAATCTTCTTGCAAATGTCCCTCAAAGAAACTAAATACCCGCTGAAGAGACACTGGCTCAAGCAATTTCTTTACTATAGATCAACCATTAACAATGGTAATTTACCATTGGCTTTCTTCCCTATACAGGAGCACAGCCTGCTGCAATTCCTGTTAGGAGAAAAAAAGGCAAAGAGATCTTCAGATATTCTATAAGCCATTAATGCAGAAGACAGCTGTAGCTAACGTACTGCTGTGATTATTCCAGACAGAGGAGCAGACATGACTTTCAAGTTTCAGAAGCCACCGTAGACTTGCTCTTGCTGCTGTTAGGGTTTTTCCTACCAAGCCTAGCTCAAAGCTGTAGCAGATACAACAGCTAATATTGACTTTAGCTATGTTTGTTTCCTGGTATGTGATTTAGGTAGCTGGCAATTATGTAGTCACAAGACTGAACCATATGGCCTCCTAAAAAAAAAAAAAAAGAAGGCATAGTTGCTTTTGCAGTGACTCGCCCTTAGTTGCAAGGTTGTCCTAACACCGGCTACAACACCCTGTTAATGGCCCTCATGTGAGCAAGTGTCATCTGACAACCCCTAGCAACCTCATATAGCTTAGGAGTAAATAAGCATCTGCCATCATCGCCATATGGTTATCAGTTTAAAGAAATGACGAACACCAAGAAGCACACTAGGTACCCTGCGCTGTAATGCTTTTACTTTTAAGGGCAAACAGTATTTACACTTGGCCGAGAACCTGAAGCTACTATTTGGAAAAGTGGTTTTTTTTTAAAGTAGAAAACACCAACCAAAAGAAGTCTGTCACAGACATCAAGTTGGTTGATGAGAATTTATAGTCATGTGCTTATTAAAACAATTCAATGGCAGTACTGATGACAAAAACATCTAATAAAATATTCCTGACCAAGAAAATATAAGTTTTTAAATAGAACAAAGTAAGCTGACGTTTTGTTCAGGCTTGGGTAATTCCACTGCAGAACAAAGTCCTCTTCCCATCCCTGCTTTAAAAAAAAAAGTTATGCATACATGTCTGCTCATAATTCATGGTTTAAACAGCTTCTCCCTCACCAGTAAAATTCTAGACATTTTAATATGACAGCCATAGCGCTACTTCCCTTCCAGATTAAAAAGGGAAAATAACTTCATTATTGGTCACCCAGAAATAGAGCAGTAGAGTTAAAAAAAAAGTAAGATTTCAAAACCCAGTACTACGTGCTACCTGCTAAATGGCACAGCACCCTTCTTAAACGGATTTTGTAATCTCAGTAAACCCCAACCTCTAAACACTGGACAAAAGTCAAGCAGAAAACTAGAGCAAGGTTAGGTTGAACAACTTGTTCGGTTGCAAAGGGAAGCCCACAGATATAATAACAATAAAAAAAACCTCAGTTTCAATTCCGAGAGTAATGACAAGTACTAGATCACAATCACTCCTCCCCACGAGAAAGGGAAACAAGTGAAAAGCTTTGGCCAGTTCTTAAGTTATCCAAACGATCTAGGAGAGGGTGACTCCTGCCCTTCACCTCATTGAGGAGAACTACTTTAAACATCAGTGTTCCCGGTCACCTTTGAAGTGCAAATGAAACGCCAGGTTCCTACACTTACGATTAAGATCAGCAACTGATAGACTTTACTTAGTCCTGTCTTTTCCCCAAACAATCCTGAAACATTCAGTTAAATGACCACAGTATCGGATTCACATTACACATTAGGACGGGACTCCTGTAAACTCACTAAGTAGATGTGTTTCACAACACTGCCTCATCTGTAGATGAAGTCATCTGTGGGATACAATAAATCCCAAAATATCTGGGGAATTACCACTGAAAAATCCACAAAGCAGATTCTGGAAAACAAACAAGAAAAGAACAATAAAAAGCAAGTGGGCACCCACACACAGAAAACACCCCAAACACACTGAGTCCAAGAAGTAGGTAATATTGAAAATGGAAGAAAGTGTCCTGCTCTCCGGATACAATCCTCTGGGAAGCAGAGTGCAATCACTTTTTCTAGACTATGTGACAGCATGTCACCTGCTCTTGTTTGTAGGTCATTTCCTGTCCACCTCCACTGCAAGACAATTGCTGAAATTATTTCAGCTCGAGGTAATACTTCAGGAAGAAAATGTGGGGTGGGGGAAAGAGAAATATATATGATGGAGTTACCTAATTAAGACTAATTTTCTGTATAAGTTACAGCTGTCCAATAAAGCATTGTTTTCACGTGCAACAGAATACTTGCAGAGCCCCCGTATGGTTTTATTTTCCAAACAGCTTTTAGAAGCAGGCTAGAGAAGCACAGGAAGACAGAAAGTTTCAATCATACCTGCTGTTTCAATGAGCATTTGTTTTTGCAAAACACACTTAGCAAAACTGATACACAAAAAATGCCTTCAACCCAGACATTCAGAATGAGTGTCAAAACACGTTTAAAGGTGAAGTGGAATCTATTCTGGATAGCTTAATGACAAATTTCCCTCTTTAATCTGTTGAATATCTTATACAGAAGATGTGGGTTCCCTTCCTCCGTCCCAGTCTGAAGCGTTTAACCTGCATTGCTCCTTCTCTTCTTAAAACCTTGGATATGGAAGAGCTGTGCTGATGCCACACCACATTCTTTTTCCACAGTTGTTTAAAGTAGTCCTAATATGGTGAAGAACTATTAACCTCAGATGAACCACCTTGTTCAAGCATGATACATAGTTACTAGTTTCACACAAGTTAGGCCGGATACATTGCAGATTAGTCATGCAACAAGTGAAGGAACATGTTATTTGCAGCACTTCTCTCAATCCATTTTTTGTGAAAGCATTCTAGCAAAATAAAATAAAGTTATTTATATCAGATCACCGAAAAAAAAAGTCTTCTTTTTATTTTTATTTTTAAGATAATTCTGTATGTTACTGTATGACAAGCTAAACAATGTTGGATACTTTTGTTCACCGAAAAGTTAGAATTCCACAAACTCCCTGCTCAGGGAAGGAAAATAAACTGGATTTTTGCAAGGTTGGAAGCATTTTTTTCATCCTCTTTGTTGCTAGAAAGCAATACCACCGCACACATGCACAAAAAAAGACCACAAAAACCACATGCACCTGAGAGAGGCAAACAAACAGATCTATACAAGTTAAAATCACCTTAAATTGCACACATCAGCTTTCCTCAAACATCAAGAACAACCTATTAAACAAGTGTTTCACAACTCAGTCAACTTTGGTAAGGTTGGATTCATTGTTCATTGGCTTATCTACAAGACAGAAGTTTGGGAGCTGGTTTCATACAGTGTCTCAGTGATAATGTAAAACAGTGTTTAAAAAAAAGTGTTTGAAGTAGTACCATAAACAGCACAAAGACAGTGCTCACAATTGCTAGCCCCAGAAACTGAATTCCTCATTAGCAATGAGAATAGCTCAAGACTAGTAACTGCACAAAAAAACTGCACATATTTGTGTTTTACCATTAAGAAAAGTGTGTTTATTTTTGTTAAACTAGGACTTTGAAAAAAGAAAGGTAAAGTATGCAATAATGTCAATAACCTATTTCCACCACCTCATCCTTTCCTCAGTACAGAAAGCCTTGTTTAGTCTCAATCAACTTTTCCCCTTCCATCCCACTTTCCCCCTCAACCCCCACAGCTTCTAACAGCTAGGAGAGCTCAATTCATCTAAACTAAGTCAAGTATTTTGCAGAAATGTTCTCATAGTACTAATTTTATAATTTCAAATAACTGAAGTTTTACTTATTAATTTAACTCTCTTCAGGCTTTGGTCCTGGCAGCTGGGATTTTTTCGCTGTTTATCTTTTAAAGGCATCTCCTGTAACCAACTTACAGCTTCCACTGGAGCCAAACAGGCTGAGCCAAACGGCAGCAGCCGCGGTGCTCAGTCCAGCATCTCTGCTAAGCGCCGGGGTGGAGGCCGCCTGGCCAGCAGGGCCACCCCACCTCCTTTGGCAGCAACCCCGGGCCTCAGCTCTAATGCATCATTCCCATGTCACTTGTTCCAGCGGCGCCATGTGACTGGGCCAGCATCCAGGAGCACAGCTACTAAATACAGACACTGCCAAGGCACGTCTTAGAACTGCCCCTGCCAGAAAGTAAGATGAATAGAAATCTTTTATCCTACCAGCTCTACTGCCTCTGCTTTTCCCCACCTTCCCTTGAACAGAAGGAAGAGCTACACGTTGCACATCTGAAGAATTTTGAGCAATAACACAAAGCAAAATGTAGTATCTATAACACTACTGCATTTCAAAGCTGTATGAATGTACTGATGGATCTCAGCTCCTGCATAAATGAGCAGGCCAGCGCAGACATCACCACCACACCTTAGGGGTGGTACCCTGAGGCATGGGTTTGGTTGCCTGCTCTTTCCTGTTCCTTCTCCCTCTTCTCTAAAGCCCTATTTTTTTTTTTATTATTTAATAAGAAAAAGTCCATATGCAGCTTTCAAGCCTCTGCTCAAAGGAGTAGTTTCAAACATGAAAATTAAAAATTACAAAATCCCAATATTATTGATTAGATATTGTGTCAGTTGGCATTTACATATACTTACAGAGATAAGAACAATATTTGGCATTCAACATCTCCCCCACCCACTTTTTTTTATAGTTAACTGGAAAATAAGCTTTTGCTGAAAGGCACACAAACACCTTCTTGCAAAGTAACTAAAACCACCCATGCATTAACATAAACAATTTCTTGACATATTTCCTCCGCTCCTGCTATGAGAAGGCTACATTCACAGGAGGGCTTTGTAAACCTCAGAGGATATGGCATTCTCTCTCAACCTTTACAGACAAGTTTGGGTACTCCCTCCAGGGATGTAGAAAGCACTGCAAATCCCCTCCTCGCCCTTATTCTGAACACACACTCCCACTGCACAAGAGAATGCTCTCAAGCAGGGTTAGAGGCAAGTGCTACCCAGGGACTCCATGCCCTTCTTTTAAGGGAAATTGCTTCAGACAGGGCCAGTTGCAACTAACCTTGAAGTGCATATTCAGCAGCATGACTTCACTAGAAGAGATTGAAAATTATCTGTTTCTATGTGCATCCTTCCATATTCATAATATGTGAAATCAAACACAACAGATGTGGCTTCTAGCAGTGCTCAGAGCTGAAGTGGCCCAGGATTTTCTGATCACCTACCATAACACTGGATCCTCTAACTGGTTATGTTAAGCTGCTGTAAAAACAAGACATTTTCTGATTCGCTCAAAATAGTGATTGTTGCTGAAAAGGTAGTCTGCAATATTCAGAAAGGGAATGAAGGAAAACTACGTACACTGAATATTTGTGAAAATTTACTATTTATCCAACTGGCAAGGATATGGGAAAGAACACATACACAAGAAGCCATGCTTGATCACCCAAATGCTGCTATAGCATGAACAGCAAAGTCCATCGCCTCTGTCTAGATGAATGCCAGGAAATCCTGACTTGATTGAATGAAGCGATAACAGACGGACATAACATCAGTTCTGGCATTTTTCACCAGTTATAGCCAAAAATATGTTTTGCTCCTCTTGTTGTTACAATAATTTGTCTATTCTATTCAAAACACTTT